TTGCCTCCTCAAAGTCGGAAAAAAGTTCAAGGGAAAAATAAATGCTGTTCTTTCAAACCAAGATTAAGTAAGAAAAGAGATAATTTGAATGATTCTATATTATCTAAAACTAACTCTGAGGAAGAAATAACCAAAAATGGAACTGTTTGGAAATACCTTCAGCAAAATATTCCCGGAAGACTGCCCACACAGAATATTTTGAAAGAAAAAAGTGCACATCGTTTGCGAAAAGAAATATCAACATTAATTCTGCAAGCTGCACATGGCGTCTGTTTATAAATGAAAAGATGTTGAAGCATATACAGAAGTGTACAGAAGCAGAAAGTGGGAGGTGCAAAAATAACAACTAAAAAGTTTCTTTAGAAGAACTAGATGACTTTATTTCTTTGCTTTATGTTCGAGGTGTTTTACTTGCAAAAGGACTTTCAATTGATGCTTTGTGGTCAAAGAAATGGGGACATAATTATTTTCCTGAAACAATGCCAAGAAATAGATTCAAGGAAATTCTTAGATACCTAAGATTTGATTTGAAATCAATGAGATCACAGCGACTAGAGACTGATAAATTTGCTCTCGCTTCCGAAATTTGGGAGCGATTCATTGAAAATTGCCTATCCTGTTATAAACCTGGAGAAAACATCTGCATTGATGTTTCCAACTAAAGTTAGATGCAAATGTCTTCAATACATGCCAAATAAACCAGATAAATTTGGTATTAAATTTTGGTTAGCTACAGATGTGGCATCAAAATATATTTTGAATGTGTTTCCTTATCTTGGAAAAGATGAGACACGTCCTGAAGCAATGACTGTTGGAGAGCATGCAGTATACAGACTGATGGAGCCATTTTATAATACTGGGAGAAATGTTACAACGGACGATTTCTTTACCTCCCTGAATTTAGCTCAAAACTTGAAACAGGAAAGCATTAGTTTGGTAGGAACAACCAATAGAGCAAAAAAAGAAATTCTCGAAAGCTTCAAGAAAACAAAGGATAAACTTTTTTCCAGCAAAATAGTGCACAGTAATGGCATAACATTAACCTCATATCAGTGCAAAAAAAGAAAAAATGTCCTTCTTCTGAGCTCCCTCCATCCAAATTTGAATGCATCAAACACAGAGAAAAAGACTCCGGAAGTCATAACATAGTACAACTCTACGAAATATGGTGCTGATGCGGTAGATCAGATGGCAAGAAAATATTCTGTGAAATCCTGTTCAAGACGTTGGCCAGTTCATGTATTCTTCAACATTATTGTCTTAGCACCCATAAATGCGTGGGTTTTATATAAGGAACTGATCGATATCAACATAAGTCGCAGAGACTTTATTTTGAAATTATCAGATGAGTTAAGAAAAAAACATCTTGACGTGCGCAAAATAATTCCTAAAAAGGACATTTCAACAGATCCCAAAACGCATGGTATAAAAAGGAAACAATGTCAAGTAGCAAAGAATCGTAAAGGTAATAAAACAGTCAATATGTGTGAAAACTGCAAGAAATATATCTGTGGACCATGTACCGCAAAAGTGAAAATAATTAGTGTATGTATTTCTTGTGAAAAAGACTGAGCTATCACTTTTGCGAGTAAATCATTATGCATTCTAATAATTACCCCAATTACCAACATATTCCAATTAAATAATTATTGTAGCATAATAAATATTAAATAGATATTAGCCCGAAAATCTCTTATTGTGTTTAAAAAGAGTTAAAATGCATTAAATCCTATTTTAGTACAATTATTTTTTATCATTTAACCACTAACTCAATATGTTTTTTTTCCAATAAATAAATAAAATTAAATATTTTAAACTATGATACATATGAGAACAACATCAAAATAACAATTTCTAACCTAATGAACCTTAACATTCAATTTTTATCAATGTTTTTAAGGATCGGTCAATTTGACCGCTTATGGCCGTTCTGGGTATACCGAATATTTGGCCGTCCGAGTATTAAAATAAAAAGATCATTAATAAGAGAGAATAACTAATATTATAGATTTTTCATTAATGCAGTAGTCATAAATGCATAAAGAATTAACAAATTTTAGCAATTAGTTAAAGAAATGTTAATGGGACATAATATAAAAAAATAAACAAAATATTTCAGCAGTCAGTATCTCATTTACATAAATTTTAAGTGTGCCAGTTGAAAAAAATTCATGAGTAACTTGTTCATAATCTTGATAAAATAAAAATAAGTTGAACGCAATTACAGTCAATAACTAAACTATGTGAACGAGGTGAAAGTTAAGAAAAATAAAACAAACATCGATGAGGCACAATCAGTTCAGCATATCAATTCCGAAAAGAAAAGCGTAATGCATTCCTAATATTAAAAGACAATAAATATTTTAAAGATAAAAGCTCCCAAAAACGCAAATGCAGTCAACAACTAAACACTTAACTATTAAACTATGTGGATGAAGTGCGTTGTAAGAAAAACATTATGAACACGGGTAAGGTACAATTAAAAATCTTAATGAAGAGCTATTAAAAATATTTACAATATCTCACCGATGAAATCTTTAGGTGTGGCAGTTCAGATAAGACATTTGTAATTCATTCGTAATATTGATAAATGAAAAATATGTAAAAATTAAATGCTTTTGACAATTAAACTGATGATTGAGGTACATGCCAAAAATCATTATGAACACTAGTGAACCACATTTAAAAATATTGGTTAAAAAAATTTACAAATTTCTCACGGGTGCAAACTTTAGGCATGTCAGTTCAGAAAAGACATAAGCAATCATAATATTGATAAATAAAAATTATATTTTTTAAAAAAATGCTTTCGACAACTAAACTATGTGAATGAGGTTCATGATAAAAATAAAAATTATCAACATTGGTGGGTACAATTAAAATATTTATAAGATACAATAAAAAAATAAAATCTCTAATCCAATTTACACATGACACTTGAGAAAAACCAATTCATTTAAATTAGCGATGCAATTATACATATCAAAAATATAAATCAATATTAAAATAATATCCTATACTCAGTTTTAAATGTGTAGCATGGTATATATGAAAATAATAATTCAAAATGTTAATTGGGTATAGTAAAATGTTTACAGATTTTTCATTGCACTAAATATTTCTACCCGTTGAATTTATATCATTAGGTGATTTTTTTTTCAAAGTACAAATTAAATTAGTAGTGAGGTAAGTAATTAAAATTTTTCAACTATTAAATAAGAATATTTTTGAACATAAAAATCTTAGCAAAAATACTGATTCAATATAATTATTCTAAAGAAACTATATTATTTTGTTAAATGTCTTTTAATTAATCAACATACGAAGTACATTTTTCAAATTACGCCTATCCTTCATAATTTGATGGTCAAGAATCTAAATCCTTAAAAAAAAAAAAGTACGTTAATTCAGAGAAAGTAGAATTTTATATCTAAGTTTCGTAGCTTCAGTTATAGTTAGGGCTGCAAGTTTGTCGTGGCGCGAATTTCCGTGATGATTTCCGCGAAATTGTCATCTTTTTTCCTAAAATCCGCAAATTTCTCAATATGTCTTGACTTGCGCGAAGATTGCTTCAAATGTGATTTTTTTTTAAATTTATAATTTTTATTAAACAGAATTTTTTCTTTTCCTGAACCTTAAATTGAACATGTAAAATTGATTAGATATTTAGGGGAGTGAATCAATAGCAAAATGAGATGAAAATAGTTCTGAGATAAGAGATAATCACAATCTTGTCAACTAAGGTGGTCTTTCTACACCTAAGGAGGGTAATTACCTTCCTGAAGTCAGTAAGAGTACAACAGAAATTAGAATCACAAATGAAGGAAAATGTTATAAATAAAATCTTAGACAGAAAAATTGTTATACATGCTATTGCACTGGGCAATGAAATTTCTACTGCCTCTCTACATATCCAGTTAGTTTTTCCTAGGCGACTTCTTGTGATTTCTTAAATATGGATTAGTTTCTAGATGAAGGGGGGGACTAGGAGTCACTAGGGACTTGTATCTAGTAGTTTGAATATAGAATGTTTGAGTTTTCACAGCAATTACTTCTTACAAAGCAACGGTAAAGGAATTGCGTGTTGGTGAAGGAAAATTGATCGAGTTTTGGAAATCAAAGACCGAAAGCTTCAAAAGTGGCAATTCAAAGTTCGTCGGTGCCTAAAAACAGCTTTGACGCAGAAGGATCGTTTTCTAAGTATAAAAATGTATTAAGTGATGAAAGACGAAGGATAAACGAGAATAATCTGACAATGTACAATACATTGTACCAAAATTCTGTTCATTTAAATTAAAATATTAATATTGCTTGAAATTCAAAGAAATACTTTTGTTGTGTATTTTTAAGCTTTTTTTATTATTTGCGCAATTTCTGTCTTTTGCATCATTTATGTAATAAATTTTTTTATGTTTAGAATTTGTGTAATTTTCAAAGTTTCCCGCGATTTTTCCGCGAATTTGGCGTCTTTTTTCCCGCGACAAACTTGCAGCCCTAGTTATAGTTATCACTAGTTTACATTAGTATATTTGAGGTTAACCATTCAAACCATTAAAATTGGCACTTAAAATGTGAAAATTTGATCATATTTAAAAAGATAGACAGTTTAAATAATATATAGATAGATATTAATTTTATATTATTATTATTTATTTGGCTCATTGTAATGTGCACTTAATTCTAAAAAAGTAAAGTAAAAATTTTTTTTGTCAAGTTCATTATTAAAATAATTTATATAATTTATATAATTTTCTACAAAAAAAAACAGAATTGAAGAAAAGTATAGTTTAAATATAATATAATAATGTAGCTTTAAAAAAAAGTGTTGCTTATCACTTAGTAAAATTTAAAAAGCTCAATAAATGAAATAAATAAAATTTAATATTAATTTTCTAATGAAGTAAAATTTTAAAAAAATGTTTCTAGCGATTTCTATATATAATGATATTTATTTCATAAACAAAAAATTAGATATATTGAAAAAATGTTATAGTACTTACGGAGGAATTTTCTCAATAACAGATTTTATTACATCTTCAACACCTTGACCCAGTTTAGCAGATATCTAATAAAAAATTTAAATTAACAATAAGTTTTAAATAGAAATTAACATTATAAATTAATCTAACCCTTAGATTAGAGCAAGATTTGCCATTAATTGATTTTGATTAATATGTTTTCTACCAAAAATATGTTAATATAACATGTAAAAGGCCATTAAAAAAAAGCTAAAATTACCCTCACACATAACTATTGTATGCCTACAAGAACAAAAAGAACCTGTTAACCAGTTGTATAAAATGCTTACAATGGATACAAATAGTTTATTTAAGAGAGGGGGAAATTCAAAATGGCATTATTAGTCAAAAAATATATATTTTTTTTTTTGCCTCAGCTAACCATGGAAGAAGAAGAAAGTTTTGAAACAAATATTCAACTCTGTCTTGTTCAATCAAAGGTGTTTATAGATATAAGTCTAAAATATAAAAAAAACATGGAGTTTTATTTACTGCACATAAACTGAAAGTATATAGAACTCATAAAATAAGTTTAAAATAAAGAGAAAACATGGATAATAATAAAGATTTATGAAAGGAGAAGAAGAAAAATTATTAAAAATAAAATATTTTAAAAAAATATTTTTTTTAAATTTAACTTAAAAAATATATACAGTGTAACGTCCCATATCCTGACGTCCCTTTTCCGGAAGGGTCGATTTCCCCGGACACTTTTTAACAATCAAAATAAACAAACATTTCTTCATCTTCCCCTCTCCTTTAAAAAAGAAAAAAACAAAAAGTCTTTTGACAGGTTTTTCCCCTTCTCAGCTTCTAGAGATCTATGCATTGAACCCATAAATCAACAGAAGATCTACTAAGACCATGACGCTCCTCCTCTGGAATGCAGGAAAGGGGGGGGAGATTTGTTTTTAAAAGAGCACAACTGAGTCCCCTCCCCCTTCTTTCCTATGCAGCTGGCTAGTAAAAGAGGCATTTCCTGGAACCTTTTTATTTGAGTGTCAGGGGAAGAAGAAATACTGTGAAAAAGGGTAAACACAGCAAATGTTAAAGTGGAGGGGGAATCCCCTTTAGTCACACAAGAAAAAATAAAGAGAACCCAATCAGCATGCCACGCCTTTATGCTTGATTGATAGCCAATGATGGGAGAGAAAATAAGAATTTGTCACTACCCTGCTCTCAACTAGAATGACAAGTAAGGAGGAAATGAATTTTTCTTCTCCACCTACCCACCTTAATGAATGATGGGAATTTCCCCTTCTTGCTTGAATCGTTCTAGTTCGAAATGGCGGAGAGAGCGATTAATACTTTCATAACTGTGAACTTTTTTCGTTTTCTATATTTATTTTTAAAATAGCAATATTTATTTTTTTTCTAATATTTTGTTTATGATTGATTAGATATCATTCTAATACTAAAACATTAGTGCCCGAAAAATAATGTTTATTTTTCTGCTTCTTAGATTCAGATCATTTTAAGCTTTGTTTACCTTAGAGGACAATTATACGGAAAAATCAAATATACGGACTTCGGGAAGTCCCGCCGATTTCGGATATGCGACTTTCCACTGTATATTAAAAAGTTGGAAAACAAAATAATAAAAAAAGATATAATCTCGTCATCAGCTCACACAATCATATCCACAAAAAGGAGTGCTTTCTAATATTATATAAATGTAGCCAAAGCAAAATATATCAATACAATAGTATGAGGAGCCCTCAAAAAAATTTTTTAACAAAAAATAGAACATATGAAATAAAAAAATATACGAAATAAAACATATCAAGCAGAAAACAGGAAATAAAATGTAAGAAAAATACAAAACATAAAATGTAATCTATAAACAGGGATGTGAGTAGTCAGAAAGTAAAAAAGAGAAAATCCCAGAATATATATACAGAAATTTAACAAAAAAAAATGTGATTTTTAAACCTGTAAGCCATGTGATTATAAATCCCGATGATTAATTTTAAAATTGTATAAATATATGAATATGAATCAAATGCATGATTTTAAATTGAGAGAATATGAATCCCGATATGAGGCTTTCAAATTATATGAAATCACGATTACAAATTATCACGAGATGTAATATGAAACTCTACATCGAGTTTTAAAAAATGCGAAAATACAAATCATGATGTGTAATTTTTAGATCATGTAAATACGAATCACAATGCATAATTTTTAAATTGCGCGAATAAAAATCACATTGTCTAACTTTTAAAGCACGTATAAGTACGAAAATCGATGTTTGATATTACAACCGTAAAAACGAGCCACGACATTAGATCTCAAGCTCGCGTGAATACGAATCACTACATAGGGTTTCAAAAGTGCGTAAATACAAATCGCAATATTAGATATTTAAATCTCATAAATAAGAATCTTAATGTACGATGTTTAAATAGCATAAATAATCGCAATGCGCAACTTTTAAATCAGGTAAATACGAAAATGGATGATTGATATTAAAATCGCGTGAATAAGAATCGAGATATTTGCAGAGTCTGAACTTGGGATTTCTAAAAGGCTTGCTTGAATTGTTTTTGTTTAGACATAATAAATAAAAATTTACAAGATTAATTGAATAAGCAAATAAATATTTTCACAGCAAATCTACCTCGATTTGTTTTTGTTTTTTTCCGTTTGCTTTCACGCCAGACAACAGGGTCACGACGCCTGAATTGCGAAAATACGAGTTATCCGGCGAACGAATAAAAATACGGAAAATCTTATTTTCTGCGCGTAAAAGCGGAGAAAATAGCTAAAAATACGGAAAGGTTGGCAGCTAGGACGCAGTTTGAATTTTCTGTTTATCTTTGAAAATCGTAAATAAATATAATTATTTTATTTCAACGACTGAATTTTCAAAAAAAAAGCGGGATATTTATAAAAAAAAAAAATAATAAATAAACTCTTAGTTAATCGGAGTTTTTGATAAATAGGGTTAAATTCGAGAGGAAAAGCGAAAAAATCTCATCCCTGTATGAAGGTCAACCAGTTTTATCCCAAGGAAATGATTTTTAGAGAAACTTCAGGGGGAGGAATGAGGACTTCAATACTTCCGCTTCGCGGAAATTTAAATTCCTCATAAAATACTTTAACTTGTTCACAAAAAAAAATTTTTTACGGAAATTAGTGGGGGAAGAAGGAAAAATCTGAAAGAAAACGGAAATCCGCGGAAGAATCACTTCCCTGTATAAAGCGAGTAATGAATTCAAATTAACTTACATGTACCGGAATCTTTCAAGAATAATTTAAAATATTTTCGTAATAAGTTTGCCAGATTGCAAAATATGAAAACAGAAGTACAAATAGAGGTTAAAAGCATAGAGCTGTTATAGCACGTTCTTAATGCATTACTTACGTGCGTTTGATTTGTTAGTTACCTTGCCCGAAAATGGATGTGCGCAAGGCTATAATATTATACTGGATAATTTAAAGTTTATAATTAATAAAGTTGCTATTTAATTGAATAATTTTAATGAATTTAGAAAATTAATATTTATTTAAAAAAAGAAACATGAATTTTAGGAATAATTTCTTTTCATTATTTTGTTTTCTGGCTTCAATGATATTTTTTTAAATATTTTTTTCCCCTTTCATTAATCTTTATTATATTATTGCCATTGTTTTTCTGATATTTTTAACCTATTTTATGAATGCTATATACTTGCAGCTTATGCAAAGTAAATAAAGCTTATTAATTTTCTTCGTTTTACCATTTTCTTCGTATATATATATGCAGCAAGTGAGTTAATCAACAGGTTTTATTGTTCGTGCACCAGTACATATCACAACAATTCATAATATCTTACATCTCTGTGTATGAAAGGTAGAAAGCACTAAGTTTATTTTTTTCAGAAGAAATTAAGGTAATAATGCAAAATTTAAGATTAAGATTAAGAATACAGTAAGACCCCGCATAGCGCTGTTTCGTTTAGCACTGTTTCGGTTTAGCGCTCTTTTATTTCAACCCGGAGATTCACCGAAATTGTGTGCAGGGACTCCTCCAAATATGTACATAACATATCCGAAACAGTGTAGTTTTGTTTCTTGTTTGGTGCAGTGCTGTACAGACGCATTTTTATCATTTGAAACATTTGTTGACATTATCGTAAGTACATATAAACTTATATGTAACGATTAATACAGAGACAAATATTATGATCCTTAGTTTTTATCATGGGTGATAATGAAAAACAAGAAAAGAAAACAACCAGAAAAAGCATTTCACTGGAAACTAAAATGCAAGTGATTAGAAGATTAGATTCTGGTGAACGTCAATCTCAAACTAGTGCTGCATTGAATTTGGCAACTTCAACAATAAGGACAATTCTTAAGAATAAAGAAAAAATACAGTCATCGGCAACTGCAACTACGTCAAGCTCTGCAACTAGAATTACCCGTTCTAGAAATAGCATTATAGAGGAAACGGAAAAACGACTGTCTATATGGATTGACCACGAAATTGAAGGCAATATGCCATTAAGCCAATCTATCATAATAGAAAAAGCTAGAAGAATTTTTAATTACATTCAGGTTGAGGCAAGTGACATAAGTGAAATTTTCGTTGCTAGTCGAGGATGGTTTAATAGATTTAAACATTGAAATAATCTTCACAACATAAAGATTACAGGAGAAGCAGCAAGTGGTGATACGAAAGCGGCGGCTGAATTCCCAGCGACATTAAAAACAATAATTGATCAAGGAAACTATCCTCCAGAATTGTTTTTTAATGTTGATGAAACAGGCCTGTTTTGGAAAAGAATGCCAAAACGAACATTTCTATTCCCGTGAAGAGAAATGAGCACCAGGATTTAAAGCAGCAAAAGATCGCTTAACACTTCGAGTGGCAATGCAAGCGGAGATTTCAAATTAAAACCACTACTAGTTTACCACTCCAAAAACCCAAGAGCGATGAAAGGCATATCTAAGTCTAATAAAAAATCATGCATTACTATGAAAATTTTCCAGGATTGGTTCACTGAACATTTCTACCCGTCTGTTAAACGTTATTGCGAAATTAAAAAACTTGAACAAAGAGCGCTACTATTAATTGATAATGATCCAAGCCACCCAACAAATTTATCAGACTTAACAACATCAGGGATGCTACTCGCAAAATATCAAATTGTCTCACCAGAAATTGCATTTCGTCTCAGTTAAAATCTCTTTTTGGCTCAGTTTGTCTCAGCTAAAATTATTTTTTTCACTCAGTTTATCTCAGCTAAAATGATTATTAATCAGTTTGATAACAATATAAAGATAATTTTCAGGATCCATAAAACCATTAATAGCATACTAGGAGTACTACAATTATACATACATTCACTATTGCTAGGATTTTAAAAAACCTGCATATGATTGATTATAAGAGTCCACAAAATTGTTTTATGGACTCTGTTGTTTTCATATATATTGCATTTATCATTTATGCCAATGAATAGTATCTGTTCCAGAATTTTACAAAGTAAATTTTAACTTTCTTATTTTTTAAAATATAATGGTGTTAACTTTCTAAAAAGAAATATCTATTTAGTTTCAGTAATTCAAAAGGGAAAATACCCATTTTATTTTGAGCTCAAATTTCATCTCAAAATATATAACTATTCAGTTACAATGAAAGGTCTACAGATTTCAATAATTAAAAGAGAAATTCAGTAATTAAATAATGAGAGTTTAAGAAAATGCAAATAACACAAAAAAAAANTTCGCATTACGCTCTACTTTGATGGAACGTATCCTACGTGTTAAGCGGGGTCTTACCGTATATCAAACAAAAGAATCAATTATAAACTGATTCCTAAAAATTAAGATTTTTAAGTTTTATTCAAAATTCGATAATAAATTTTTTCCGAAATTCCTACTTTTCTATTTAACTAAAAATTCCTGGAAGAACAATAAGAAAATTTTACCAACAACAAGCATTACACATAAACCTCATCTTCTTCATTATTAAAAACTCTTACAATTAAAATAACAATACCTTATGAATATCAGCTTCATCAAATCCAAATAATTTTGTCATCTGATTACTAACTATATCAGGATTAGCATTTTTTAAATCAATCTTGTTAATAACTGGAATAATTGTCATATCTTGAGTAAATGCCAAATTAAAATTAGCAACAGTCTGAGCTTGAACACCCTGAAATGAAAGAAAATAAATATTTACTAACACATATGATAATTGACTAAAAAAAGAACCAAATAAATGTCCTATTTTCATATTGCATTCAACAAAAATAAATTTACGAAATTGATGACAGCTAATAGATTTGAGTAGTGATTTCTACTTTTTTTTCTTCTTTCTTTTCTTTTTTTTAGTAAATAACAAGAAAATTAAAAATAGAAAAATTCAACAAGAATAAAATATAACAAAATAAAAACTTAGCTCAGTAAAAATCAGCATGAACCATACTTTTTTGTAAAAAGAGTTTATGTTACAATATTTTTATTGCAGTAATTAAACTATGATACACTTTAGAAATTGTTTTAATGTTAATTATATTTATTATAAATACCTTTAAAGCGATTTTTTTTTTTTAGAAAAACAGCACAAATTTCAAATTTATAACATAATTATATATTATTCCATAAAAGCATATTTTAAATGCAGAGATTTGATATAAAAATTCTTTATGCATGTTCTAAACAAATTTTTAAAAAAATATGACTGAAGTCAGAGATAATAAAATAATTATAAGACTAGCAATTACCAATAGCACTAAAATTTAAGAAATCAATATACATTAGATTTTAAACACAAAATCTAGTAACAATTCATATAATATTAAAAATTATTTCACTAAAATTACACAGAAGTATATAATGTTATGAGGAAGAAAGAACTTTCACTATCTTTTATTTTGATTCACTAAATAGCATTAAACATGATTTTTTACAAAGAAAATTTGAACTTTTAATGAAATCAAATATACTAGATTTGCAGAATTTATTTTTTAGAAAACCTTAAGTTGCAAAAATTTCACCATTAAACTTTAGATTACATTGAATTTACATTGAATAAAGAAGATAATTTTAGAAATTCTTGAAATTGATTGTTTTACAGACTGAGTTTTTCTTTTTATTTTAACCAGTATGTATTTTTAATAGTTTTACATTAAATTACTTCAAAGCAATTATATATTCTTTTTATAGTTAACTTATACATAACTATTGTTCTCCTTTTCAGCAGCAATTTTTATACAAATCTTAATACTGAAGAAAGAAAGGAATTTTATATTGTTCTATGAAACATATATTGGTTGGAATTAAAAACCAATTTAACCCATTGGCCGACAAAAAGTAATTTAGACAGCTTTTGTAATTTATGACGACCTTATAAAAAATCTAGCCAAGGAAAAAAAAATGACCAATGGGTATCCAGTGATCGGATTAATGCAATCATAATTAATTTGTTATTAAACAAATAGTATTCTTTAACTTTCATTAATCTTTTTATTAACAAATAAAATTGTAATTGTATAGTATATTTGTTTCTCTTAATAACACACACTTTTTTAAAATTTTTTATTTTAATAATCTTTTTTTGGATTAATTCCGTTTTTAGAAAACAGTTCAAATTAACCTTTTAATAAAATTTTATATAAATAATATCTGATATCTAGTAACTTATTCTTAGTTTATTTACAGTTAAATACAATAAATTTCGCAATTATAGTTGGAATGAAGTTTAACAAATATGGCATAGTTAAGTTTAATTTTATTTTTTGTAAAAAAATAAATTTTGATATGCATATTTTTTGTACAATATTTATTTTGAAGAACTTGTAATTTAACAATGCATTGAGTAATTTATGATGAGTAATTCTTTTGCCGTATTGACATATTAATTCTTTATTTGACTTAGTTCAAATGAATATCCCCCATATAATCAATTTAGAACAGTCCGTTAAACTTATCTTAATAGCAAATTAAAGGAATTAAGTTTCCTACTCAGAATTTTATCACTTTAATCTTTACACTACTATAACAAACCTTAAATGAAAATATTATTTCGAATTATTTTCGCAAAAACCGAAACAAAGTTTACTCACTGCCCCCTCTTTAGGGGGTTGCATTTCCAGGAGAGACCCATCATAATAATTAATTCCTCGAATTAGCGCTGTTTTTAATAGTTTTCGAAAAAGTTATAATAATTTGAATTATTATTAGGAATAGTAACACTNAGAAGCCGAAACAAGGTAAGATTCCTTGTTGATATATATTGAATCTTTAGAAGTCTTTGTTTAGTATTCGTTATACATCATAATAATTAATTCCTCGAATTAGCGCTGTTTTTAATAGTTTTCGATAAAATTATAATAATTTGAATTATTATTAGGAATGATAACACTAAAATTAGTAGTTTGTAATACAAACACTTTTGTACGTGGTAAGAACTAGAGATTTTTTACTGTATGTATTAAATGTAAAGTCAATACCAAAAAGAAAATCATAAGAATTTTAATGGTCAATTTTATGCAATAGAATTTTAGGAATATAAAGGAGTTTGTAAGTGTATTTGGGTGCCCTTCATGATATTAAAATATTTGTTGCTCAAAGAAGTAAAGATCTTTATTTTAGAATTAAGAAGTTAGTTTGCTTTGAGGAGGAAGAGTAGGTGATGGAATGCAGCTGTTTCAAAAAAAGGATCCCTTTCCTCTCTTTGTTAGTGCATGGTAAAATGAAAAGTTAATGATGTCCGGTTATGCGTTTCTCATCCCACTCTGTTGGGGGTCAGAGTTCTTGAGGAACTTTAGACTTTTCTAACATTTTGTTTCTTTTTTAATGTTTTGAATCGATCTCTACTAACATCAATTTCAGTTTCTATTTCTTTCCTTATATTGCTGGTGATTATTATTATTTAACATTTTCATAAAACCAATTTTGTTTTCCATTGTTTAAATGTTTTTCATAGTTTCAATTCATTGTTTTTATTTTGTTGATTTTTAACTGTTTTTTCTATGGTCATATTCTAATTATTTTCTTTCTTTCATGAAAAGTCTGGAGAGACTGAAAACAGCCATCAACAGAAAAGAAGGTAAAAACATGTTAAAACAACATTTTAACTTAGTAGCATCTATTTTATATTCTATAATTTGTGGTCTTCTTTGTATTATTGAAATATTTTATGATTATTAGTAAATAATTGTTTATAATTTTAAAAAATATATTTTTTTAAATCATTAAAATTTTTTAATCAAAATACTTTCTTTTTTGATTAGCAAAAGTACTTTACTAAAAAATTTGTAAAATCATTTTTGACTTTTCTTAAAAATTGACCACACACTAGACTAATAAACATACTATACACATACTAGACTAAAATTAAAAATTGTAAACATACTAGAATTATTTATATTTGTCAGGGGGAAAACGTTTTTTTAGTTAAATGATTTAATTTTATCATAACTTATCTAATTTTACCTAATTCTAAATTAAATAATCTAAATTTCCCACTTCAATTCTGAACTATATTTTACAGTATTTGCTTATGGTAATTATTTTAGAAGCAAAATCTTCAGTAGTTAATAATAATTTACGATAAGCATTGCGAATATACAAGACAGCTGGTAAACTTATTGTCAGATAGATTGTATAGAAATGAGTTCAAAGCAGTTTTTTTTTCTTTCAATTTAATGTTTTTATTTTTTTGATTTTTAACTAATTATTTTTATTAATTAATTCTAATTATTTTTCTTTCTTTCATGAAAAGTCTTGAAATTCTGACTGGAAAGTGAGAATGAAAACTGTTGGATGAACTAGAAGGGCCATCAACAGAAAAGATGGTAAGAACATGTTAAAACTACATTTTAACTCAGTAGCATACCTTTCATATTCTATAATTTGTGGAATCCATTTTATAAATTCATAGCAAAATTAGAAAATCTACTTTATATTCTATATGTAAAACTATGTTGTGACTTTTTATTTATTTCATTTTGTTCAATAATCACATTTAATTAATTTTATCTTTAGTGATCAGAAAAGTAATTTGGCGATGCTGTTTGTTATATTAAGCATTTTTAGAACATTTCATCACATACATTTATTTTTATAGATATATTTGCAGAAAAGCTACGATATCTAAACATTTAAAAATCATTTATTTATATTTATTTTTAAAAAATCAATTCCTATTAAACTTTCCCATTCACAGAAAATTTTTCTGAGAAATTTAGATTACTTTTCCATCCTGTTCTATTCAAATTAAAACTTTTTATGTATAAAAATTTTTTTAATATTTTAAAAAACTGTTTTGTTTAAATCAACCTACCTTGATGGCATAAAATTTATATTCTTTAGTTAGTCGTGGAATCCTTTTTATAAATTCATTACAAATTTATAAAAAATAATTCCTTTTTATAGCATATTTTAATAAATTCTTCTATAATAATTTGTATACTATCACTTTTAGGTAATTAATACTTAATTGTGTATAATTTTGAAGAATCATATTTTCTTTTAATTAATAGAAATTTTAATCAAATCTCATATTTTTAGATTTTTAAAAGTACTATCTGAAAATTTTTTCTTATATATTTTTTGCATTTTTAAAAACCTTTAGTTAGTTTATTTGATTGAGGTTAAAATTTCTTTTAATGAAATAATTTAACTTTATATAAACTTGAAATATTCTCACATATTAATTTAAATTAAAAATTCGTTCATTTTTTAATTTTGTTTGAATATTAAAAATATGAACGATACATAACATATTAATAGCTACAAGCTATTTTGGTGAGAATGTTTTCTTTTTAATTAAAAAAATATTGAAGTTTTGCTATCAAATTCTTTATTTAAAATACATTTTTATGTTCAATTATTAAATGGATTGATCTGTAGTTTCAAAATGCAATATATAAACAGTGTTAAGTGATATGTAACGCTTCAGTTAGTTTTCTAACTTTTGGAAGCATTTTAAAAGTTAATAGTTTATAACAGATGAGTTTAAAGTAAAGAAGTTTGGTCACCACTTTTAACTTTTTTAAAGTCAATCATAGTACTCTCTATTTTTAAACTATTAATTGTCTCATAATACTATAAAGAGAAGTTTTAGCCATGTTGTTTTGTTGTCATAGGATATTATTCATAGTTGTTTTAATATTTGATGCTGCAATTTTTTCCTTCCAAATGAATCCACTATTTCACAAATTTGCAATAAATATTACAAAGTACTATGAAATTTTATAAAATACTTAGCTTTATTACAAACCGGAATATTTATTTCGTGCTATTACCTTTTGTTACAATCAGATAAAATATATTTTTGTGACAATCAATGTGTTCTAGTAAATAAAAAAAAACCAGGTGGTTTGAGCAACTTTATTAAATTCTATAACGTAGGATATTTAAAAAAGAAAAACTGAATTGTTAAAAATTAGAGGATAGAAGTTTTTTTGGAACATTTCCCTGAGATCAATAAAAGTATTTTGAATAGTTAGAATTAATTGATAGTATAACTTAACCCAGAATTAAAATGTGTCAGCAATTAATTAGATATTTTGTTTCTGTACATATTATTTACAGGGTACCTGATACATTTAAAATCTTCAAACCCATGACATTTCATGACTTTCCATGACTAATTCCAAGAATTTTCATGACTTAACGAAAATACTATTTTCTCCGACAAAGACACAGCAATGAATTTAAAAAAGCATAATAATAACATTAATTGAAATGATAGGTAAATCCAAAACTGTTATACTCTACATCTTCGTATTTATAAATTTTAAATTTAAAAAACAGAATAAAGAAAGAGTTGAAGCAATAAAATAGCCGAAAAAAATACAAAAGCAAAAAAAAAATTTCCTTTTTTTCTGCAGAATTATATTCTAAAGATACTTTTCTCGTTCATCGGAACAGAAAGAAATACTCCTAATTTTTTCTGTTCTCATTTCGGAATTTAAAAAAAATTCGTCAATGACTGGCTTGCGTCAGCTAGAATTTAAAACTGATAAAATAAAATAAAAATAATAATAAAAATTCTGAAATCACAGAAGAGTTTTAAAGATAATTCACTCTAGAAATTATATTTTTTCTTTCATTTCTTGAAAGAGCACCATAATTTCTATAGAACATGATAAAAACATTTTATATTTTAATAAAATATGACTGTTAGTGGGGATTTCGTTACAAATTCAGATATTCCAAACACCATGAAATGGGGGAGGGTAAATTCAATTTCAAAAATTAGATTTTTCGGCAACCTAAATCCATGACTTCCCATGATTCTTTTAAAAAAATAGTTAAAATCATGACAAATTTTGTTCAATGCCAAAATTCATGATTTTCCAGGTGCGCGGATACCCTGTACTTAATATATCTATAGTAAAATAAATTGCTTAATTTTTTGCAGGAAAACTAGGATCATTCTGGAATTGGATGTTTATAAAGAAGTTATTGTACAGTTTTTATGTATTTGCTTGTATTTTGATTTGTTATATAGAAATAAAATAATACTCTCTAAAAGTCAAGTTTTATTTTAAATATTAAGCATTTTATTCTTGTTAAAAGTCTTGCTTTATTTATTTAAAATTATAGAAATTGATGTGTTATTTACAGGCACCCAGTATTTTTTTAAAAATATTTATGATATATCATGTTTAACTATTATTGAATATGAATAATATTGAATAGAAAGTTATCTAATATTGAATATGAATAATATTGAATAGAAAGTTATCTAATATTGAATATGAATAATATTGAATAGAAAGTTATCTAATATTGAATATGAATAATATTGAATAGAAAGTTATCTAATATTGAATATGAATAATATTGAATAGAAAGTTATCTAATATTGAATATGAATAATATTGAATAGAAAGTTATCTAATATTGAATATGAATAATATTGAATAGAAAGTTATCTAATATTGAATATGAATAATATTGAATAGAAAGTTATCTAATATTGAATATGAATAATATTGAATAGAAAGTTATCTAATATTGAATATGAATAATATTGAATAGAAAGTTATCTAATATTGAATATGAATAATATTGAATAGAAAGTTATCTAATATTGAATATGAATAATATTGAATAGAAAGTTATCTAATATTGAATATGAATAATATTGANAAGAGCAATGGCTCTCACTTCCTATTGAACTGATAGACCGCATAATTGAAAGCATCACACATCGCTGTTTGTGCTGTATTGCTTCTAGAGGCAATCATATTCCATATTAAAGGTACTTTTTCTATTGCAAACCGATACTTCCAATTTGTTTATTTTATACATGTGCTAATTTCTATACTACTATTAATGTCTGATAATTTCTTTTTATGTTGTTTAATACCTTACTATGTGTTGTATATTGTGGGTAAGTTTCATAAAATTCCATGTGTAATTTCTTGAGTTATCGCGATTTTTGTGAATTTTCCTTAATTTATGATAACCAGTGTATATATATATATTATACAAATGTAAATTTATTAATGCAAAGAAGTTATCAACTTCATTGAACCATCAAAACTAAATTCAAAATAGAAGCTGAATTTCAATGTTTGAAAACAGCAAGCAAAACATAAATAAACTAGATTCAGTATTACTTGATTTGCATCGACTAGAAGAATCACCCCTTGGCAAGCACAAAGAGAACGATTGACTTCATAACTAAAATCAACATGACCCTATTTTGAAAACAAAAAGCAACAATTAAATTTGTTAATTAACACAGAATAATTGCATTTATAATAAAATAATATGATGTTAATACCTTAACTACACCCTGAATTTCTGAAAGGATTTATATGCAACTAAATTCAGTTCTATTTAATATTTGAAACATATGCAAATCATATCTATTAAAGATTTTGAATTAATAATACATGCATGCTTTCTAATTTGTAGTTAAATTATTTTTCTATATTTTTATAATAAATAACTTTAAAAAAGAAAAGAAAAACACTAAGAATGTACACTTTGCTAGACTATCATCAAAAATTTGTCCCCCTAAATAATTTTTAAAACTTAATTCAATTTATATCTTTGTCTAGCTGCAGTAATCCAGAAAATAACAAGCATCAAGATAATTTAACTAAATAACAATAATAATTTCAAGCTACATAATTTAAACTACTCAATAACTAAAAAGATAAACCAAGACTCTAGTTTCTGTGATGCTTTTAGGATGGAAGTGAGAAAAGTCAGATCATTGGAAACAAACATGTTTAAATCCTAAAAGATTCTCAAAAATTATTCAATACAAAAAATAGAAGTCAAACTTTGCAATGTCTTACATTTTTCTACATATTGCATTAATAGCAATTTTCCTTTTTCTCTATTTTTACATATTTCATTATCTAACAATAACTAAAAAATAAAGAGGAAAGTTTACTTACTGGAGTGTCGATAAGATTTAATAAGTAGACCTCATCATTAAACTCATAAAAAAGTGATACTGTTTGTGCTTTAACAGTAATACCTCTTTCCCTTTCCACTTGTAATTTATCCAATACTTGTTCATTTTTGCTAGCTTTAGATAGGTTACCTAAATTTTAAAATAAACAACAATTACATGAATAAGTATGTACACAAGAAATCAATTATGTTCAAACAGTTTTCTAGCTGTACAAAATAGTTTAGTTCTTAAAATTTTCTTAATTGAAGAGCTATAAATTGAAATGGTCTAGGAAAAAAGAACAAGTTGAATAAAAATATATAAAAAGAAATCTTAATTTATTTAAATCTGCTTTTTTTATTTTTACAGAGAGTACATTTTCAAAGGAAACCATGCATCATTTTCCGTGACTGTAGAATTTGCATTCTACTAATGAGGAACCAGCATGCGTTGGGTAATCGCAGAATGTTGATTATTTTAAATAGACTATATCTTAAAACTCTCTAAAATCAATTCAGAATTTAAAAAACTGACCCGAATATTAAAGAAAACTTAACTTAAAATTACCTCAAAACGAAACTAACTTTATGTGACACAAAATGAGGCGGGGTTTGCTATAACGTCAAATTATAGTAAGTCAGCGAACGGGAGGAGTTAAACCAAAGCTTCTTATCTAGAAATGTGTTACAAAGGCGTTTTAATTTAACCTGCATTTTTAAAAAATTGTTTTCCTTTCATTTTTATATCATATATATAGTTTAAATATATCTGTAGTATATATCAGTTGCATCCTCCCCCTTGAGAAAATTAATTTTTGTGAGCACCTTTCAGCATAATGAAATAAAATTGAGGAATGAAAAAATAAATGTCGAAACTACTTTTTTTTAAAAACTTTTGAAATAAATTCATTTTTCTTTATTTATGCCGATTCATTTTTATTTATATTTGTCTATATCTAGAAGTCTGAGCTGTTTTGAAAGTTTTTTATTCAATGAAATGATCCCATTTAGAGGGAGTAGAATGAATGGTATATGACCTGGAATTATAAGTTTTTAGGTAAATAAAAAAATTTTAAAAATTCTTTTTTATTATTAACTTTTAAAATATTTTCTTGATTTTTTTTTGAAGAAATGTAAATAGTGCTAATTATCANTTTTTGTTTTTTTTTTTTTTTTGTTGAAGAAATGGAAATAATGCTAAGCTCCATCATTTTTTATCTTAACTTTCATAATTTTTTCTTCTAGATAAAATTAATTAATTAATTTTTAACTAAATTAATTAATTAACATTTAACAATCTCACTTGGAAATAATTTATTTTTTTTCACAGAAATATCAAAGTTTCCACACTGCTTATGTGCTAAAGACCATTTATAAAAAAAAATCTACTACTTTAACACATTATTTAAATGCGTCAACAACAAAAAATCTTGAAATAAAAATTTAAAAAAAATTTATAAATAAACAAAATACAGTTCCAGATTTTGGTAATTGAAATCAGAGTTACCATCTAAACACAAAAGAAAAGTACTATCCATACCTATAACGAAATTTAATTTTATTGATAATCCCCAATATTTTTTATGATTCTGTGGTTTCTTCTTGCTGCAAATTTAGGAGAAGAAAAGTCAGCCAAAACTCAAGCAGCGCTGTCTTGGGAATCTAGTTGGTTAGGCGTTTGGGGTACTCCGAGATGGAAAGAGTTAAAAAATTGCATAATTTAAAATGCTACAACTTTTATCTGAAATTGTGATTGCATGAAGACCTTGTATTTTACATGTTTCAAAAGATACTGCAGAATAGAGTAAATAGTCACAATCAGTTTATTTGAGAAAATTAAATATAAAGAATAACTAGATTACTTCCTCCCTGTCTCTATCCCTTCAACAGTTGAGTTTGGTAGGGAGGAGAAAGGATTTTTAAAAGAAATAGGTAAAAACATTGTCCTTCTGATTTGAAAAGCAACAAAACTAATGAATTATACAGCAAGACTTAGTAATTGAAATATAAATACCAGCATACTCCATGAAACGGTCAGATAAAGTACTTTTTCCGTGATCCACATGAGCTATGATTCCAAAATTACGGATATTCTTCATTGGGATTTTTTTCATATTTATCTGCTGACAAAAATTTAAAGTTTTAATGAAACAAAAATAAAAACGAAGTAAATTAAAAAAATCAAAAGAGATAGCAAATTCAAACACCTTTATTTCATCTTTTGCAGAATTTGAGTACCTCAAGCTAGAAAATTAAAATAAAAGTTCATAATATATTAGAAAAAAAAATACTACAAACATAATTATTGTTGATTTCCTAAGCAAAACTTTTTCATTTTTTATGGTATCTATAGTAAAATAAAATATTTTTACAGAAAAAAAATTTACTTTGAGAGCATTGACTAAAAAGTAATAAAAATATCCTCCTTCCATTCCAAAGACTAAAGACTTGCCTTAAATATCTCTTATTCTAGACACTAGATTATGAAATAACTTGGACCCTTCTCATTCCTTTATATAATCTAAACTCTTATCCAAATATTGATCATATTATGATACACATAATTTAAAGAGAAAAAATATCTCTAATAAGTTTACTCATAAATATAGTAGTCCAATAGTGCAGGGAAGGCAAGTTTCTTTCCTTCCCTGCACTATTGGGCTACTATAAGTTCCACAATGGAAAAAACTATTCTAAAAGAAATATGTTTCTTCCAACGTAAGTGGAAGAAACCTTTTCTAAAAAGAAATATCAAATATTAAAATAAAAAAAAATTACAAATTATAATTGCTAGTTTAAGTAGTTATACTAAGTTTAAGTAATTGTATTATTTTTTGAATTTGTTTAATTACTCATTTTTAAAAATTGAAACTTAGCAACAAATAATAGAAAATAACTGTAATGAATTTCTTAAGAAATTAAAATAACTATTGTTTCTTTGAATGTTTTATTTAAAGGAGGATAGTAGTACCTAATTTCATAATTAAACAGAGAATTGCCAAATTTATCAAATTATATGAATTTCATTGCATTTACTAATCATAACACTTCTACAAATCATATACTGAATTCACATTTATAAATAGCATACCAATTTTTGCAATCAAATGCTCTTAAGCATAACTATTCAAATCATCTCTCAGATAATATGTTATATAGATTTTAAAACTCTGTAGAAAACTAAAATAAAAAATGCGAAAAAAGAATTTTTTTTAAAAAAAGCAGGCATTGAAATTTTTTAAATTTCTAGTATGATATCAAACTTAATTAGTTTAATTTTAAACTATTTTTATAATACTTATTGATCAACAAATGTATTGGACATTTTTAGCTGAATTCACATTTATACATAGCATACTAATTTTTGTAATCAAATGTTGTTAAGCATAACTACTCAAATCAATTCTCAGATAATATGATATATAGATTTTAAAATTCTGTAGAAAACTAAAATAAATAATGTGAAAAACGAATTTAAAAAAAAAGCAGTTATAGAAATTTTTTAAATTCCTAATATGATATTAAACTTTATTAGTTTAAATTTAAACTATTTTTATGATACTTATTGATCAACAAATGTATTAGACATTTTTAGCTTCTTTTTGTAACTTGGATGAAATCCCTACCTTGATTTTGGGGAAGTTTGCTACTTACACAGAGTAAAAAAAAAAATACTTTTTACATATTTTGGATTTTCTTTCTTTTTTTTTCGAAAATTAAATACATATGAAAGAAACTTTTTGCAGTCATAAGATATTTACAAGCAAATTTATTCAAAAACATTTTTTTACTTCTAGTCTGCATGAATAATAGAGGATCATTAAAGTAAAGGACACAGTGGACTATGGTAGAAATAATGAAATACAAACAAAAAAAAATGGTATTAATAATAAAATTTGTTTACATTTTTCACAATCACTTTTTTTCACATAAAACAATTGTTAATAAAATTGACTGTCTAAAATATAGAATATTTTTAAAATGTGTCGAAAAAAGAAAAGCAAAACTATAAGCTAAAAAGAAATACAAAAGTTATACCCTAAAATAAAGCACATTTTAGGAGTTTTCAGAAAATTAAGAAATTTAGAGAAATGTTGCATTGTCTCTGAGAGTAAGCATTCTAATACAAAAAAAGAGTAATTTTTCTCCAGAATTTCATGACGCAGGATAACAAGTTTGATTCAGAAGACAAAGGTACTTCCTAGAAAATAAAAAAATAACAAATCACTTGAACTCAAAAAGAAATCAAGCTCAATATTTTAATAAATTTTATTTGTGCCTTGACACTAATAAACAAAATTTAGAAAATATATTATCACAACAACACTCATATATATTTTTAAAAAACTAACGTGGAAGACATATATTTATTAACTATACATTAAAGGTTATAGTTATTATTATTCTTCATTCATATACCAACTAACTACATACATTGATTGGAGTGAAAAGTAAAAAAATATGCGAAATCAAAAGTATGTGTAATTTTTAAGCGATCATATCAACTATTATGTAGATATATCCACAAAGCATGCATAATTTTCAAAGAACAATTCACATTTTATTGCAAGACATTATAATTATAAGAACACAAATAAATCTATGAGCAATATATGCTATGAACCAGGGTTGGGTTTTTGCCGTCAAAAACTGGTTTTTGACATGACAGTGGTAAAAACCGTGTTTTTACCGGTAAAAACTGTCANTCTGTTGTCAACCAATGTTTTAAGATCAATTGCTACGAAATTCCTAGTTTGAGATTTATATTTAAAGTTGTAGTAAATTTTATTGTAATGTCACATTTCTACATTCAGAGAGCTTGAAGTGAATCTCAACGAACTTCAAATAGAAAGCTATGGATTTATATGAATGATAAAGTACACAGTCTCATATACAGGCAATCGTCATTTATACTATTTTAACGAGCATACATAAACATTTGTTGAAATAACAAGAGCAGTTAAGGAATTGGAAAACAAACTTTAAGAAATAAAGTAGGATGAAAGTACTAATGGAACAGAATATTAACAGTGTTAAAAACTTCTGCAAACAGGTATTGTTTTTGTTTAAATTGGAAATATTTTCTTTCAAATATTTATTCAGTTTTGTTCTTTCTTAAATATTCTTTCTATTAAATAGGATATTTATTTTTCAAATTTAAACATTGTTTTTTAATGTAATTTTTACCTCAATATCAGCACAGCTAATTCTTCACAGCAAGAGGGGGGGGGAGAGAAAGAGAAACAGAAAATATAGGAGAAAAACTTAAAAGAGAAAGTTCAACTTAATGTCTGCTTATTTATTTTTATTTATTTCATATCCATAGCATTTATTTTATCACATTTTATATTAAATATCATTTAGTGAATAATAAAAAAATTTCATATAAAAACAGACAGTTAATTATTGTTTACTATTTTTTTATTAGAATAACCCAAGCTTTGATCTTTGTTTATTTTAAGATAAATCGGAAGTCATTATAGAGAAATCTTCAGAGAAAGGCATTCATATAATTTTCAAATGAAAGTCTTTATTTAGACAAAATAAAGCAAAACAAGGAGAAGTCACTCCAGTTCTAACAAAGAAACAATTTGTGAGAGGGCAAAATTAAGAAGAGATACAAATCTTTTTTCCAAACAATTTTTTGTATTTAAATATCAAAGTATAAAAAATTTAGAGTCATATTTTTTTCCCTTCCAGCTGTTGCCAAAATACCAATAACAACAGCAACACTTGGAAGAATACCTCTAAGAAATGGATGTGAAATTAGAAAAACTTTAGAGGTGATTAACCCTCATAGATATGCCTCTAATAATAAGTGATAGTGGGGTATTACAAAGGTTTAGAGATATTTCTGAATCCCGATCCCAACAGTAGGACAACTCCCCAGACACCTAATTATTACATTTTTAAAAAAATCATGCAGAGGTTTGCCCGGAGTGGTTAGGAATAATACCCTTTGAGTTGGTTGCTCCCCTTCTGTGATGTTATTATAGTTTCACAAAGGCCACTGCCTGAATTCTGACATAGATCACGATACGGAAATTTTCCCAAAGGTTACGAACCCAACGTATTAACTGAGCAAAATGATGCATTAGTTTACAATTCTAAATTAAAAAATGTTTTTAAGAAAAAAAATGTTTTTTTTTATTATTTGGTTTGTCAGAGCGTAAATTGAAACAAGAAAAAATAACAGTTTATAAGTCTTTAGTAAAAGATTTTTATGCTGAAATACTCATACAATTCAATAAGGACAGCGTTATAAAATGTTTTTAATACAACTTTAAAGGGGAAAAAAAGGAAATTTTCCTTTTATGGAAAAAATAATAAACAATAATATTTCACCTAAAACAAATGAAGAACTTATCTTTCGATTTTTACAAAACACTTTAAAAAGTTCTCAGATTCTTTTCAGCTATTAATATATTAATATAATATTTGAGTTTGCCGCTAAATTGTGCTAGCAATCCTAACAATAAATAAACATTAATTGAGTATTGAGTATAGTAAAGTACAGCGAGCTCTCTGCTTATCGCTTATAGCTCTGCGTTTGAGAACATTAATTGATTTATTGGTTACTGCAATTACATAAATTTTCTGACTTGTGTGCTCAAAATAGTCAATTTACTCACTTGTCAATTACGTCCCTCAGTGGACTGATCGTTAAGACACGGTTCCCAGCAGATCACCGAAGTCAAGCATCACTGGCTGCGGTCAGTGTGCGGGTGGGTGACCACTTGGATCAGTCTGCTTAGGGACCGAGGGTGTGCGGTATTGGTCCTCGTTAAACTGTGCTACCGTGAAGTGCTCGACTTCGCGCAGGTCGTCGGGCTACCGAAGAGGCGGTGCCATCCCCTCCGCAGAGGATCAAATTTATGATGGCATGTCTTCGGATCATCCTCCGGGATGTTTCCCAGACCATCGCCAATAGCCCATTGTGCAGCGTAATTAGTGCGACGTAGTGCGACGTAAATTAACAACTAACTAACTAACACTTGTCAATTACATTAGGTTGTTGTTGTTGTTAATTTAAGGTCGCACTAGAGCTGCACAATGGGCATTCACGCATGAGCAAGCTAATCGTCTCGCTCTTTTAGGTTAATCCATAGATATAAAGGCAGAAAGATCAATCACTCGACCAAACAGACGTCACGGTGAACGTTGACATCATTGGTCTAGTAACTAGTTTGTACTCTATATCCACGCCCTGTAATGAACTGCGGTGCTTGTTTATTGCAGCTGTATATAATTTGTTCTTCTTTTATTTGATTTTTATAAGTTGTAATGATTAATAATAATTGATAACATTCAGTCTCTTTGCCAGAAGAATCTGAAATTCGCAAATTTTATGACACATTTTTTTTCAGATTTTTATAAAGATTTATAATTCGTAAATTTTAAACTTAAAAAAAAAAAAAAAAAACTAATGTTATTAAAATTTAATTCTTTATATCATTCTGAAATTCAAATATTTCAAATAAAATAAAACACAATTCATGTATTTACAAAAAATTAATAAATAAATAAAATAAAGAACATTTCAGTAAACATTCCAAGCTAGTCAAAACATTAAATTTCATATAAAGCACAAGAAATTGGAAAATGATAATAATTGCTGAGATACAGTCTCATTATTGCCTGTTAGCGTACAATTATTTTGCTAGTAAAACGTTTTCTTGGTTTTCATTTGTGTGTAATGGAAATTCTAATTATTTTCATTCAAAAAGTCTTTCAAAATATGATTCTACTCCTCTGTTTCAATTACAAGGTACTTTGATTTCTGGGTCGTGTTAAAAGTTAAAAATATAAGAAAAGTATTTCACAACATCCACTTAGATGACAAATTGTGTGTCAAGGATGATAAAAAAATTAATGGTTAAAAAAATAATTCATTGCGATAATGAACATTTAGCTGTAATCCTATTACCGTTCAGCAATCTAAAAGACTTTTTTGCGGTTTTTCCTTGCATGTAACGCAAAATTTGATTATTTCTATTTAGCCTTAATTGAAATAAGTTATTTTCATAACTTTAATGATTATGATTGTACTCCAAGTAACTTATGAGTAATTTTGATTTCTGGGTTGAATTAAAAATAATAAGGACGTTTCCTTATATTCACAAAGATGTTAAGCCATCTATCAAGGATGGGAAGAAAAAAAATTATTGATTATTTAAAAATAACTTCTTTTAGATAATGAACATTTAGCTGGAATACCTATTACCGATAAAAACAATCTGAAAAACGCATTTGTAGTTTTCTTTAGCATGTAACGCAAAATTTGATAATTTAATTTTATTTAAAATAGGTTATTTTTATAACTTTCATAAGTATATAATTGTAATTCGATACTTAAATTGTGGCTTATTTTGTTTTACTGGTTGAGTTAAAAAGAAGAGCTTTTCGTTTATATTCAGCAAGTTGATACCTTATCTATTTCATAATTTTATAACCGTCGTCGAACAGCCGACCTAATTATGTGCTTACGCCTACTCATGTTTAACTCCGTAAATTCAATTTTAAATCATATCCAAAAGACAGGGAGAGTCCTTTATAAAGTATTGAGAGAAATTTGCCTCCATATTGGACTTCTTGATGGAACTAGCCCGCATTTACGTTACATTTTGAGGAAAACATCCCACGGTTAGCCTGACTTCAAGGAGACTCCTGATCTTCTGAACCACAACGGCTAGGCCTGATTAATAATAAAAAATGGCTGCTTATAAAAAAATAATTTCATTGAGATAAAGATGAACATTTAGTTGAAATCCTATTACCGCCAAGCAATCTGAAAAACATTTTCTAGGTTTTCCTTTGCGTGTAACGCAAAATTTTATTACTTTAATTTCAACTTAATCTTGGTTAAAATAAATTATTTTTATAACTTTTATAAACATTGTTTTACTCCGATATTTAAATTGCACGTTACTTTGATTTTTGGAATGAGTTAAAAATTACAAAAAATATGAAGAGCATCTCGCTATATTCACCGAAATAATTGACTGTCTGTCAAAGACGCTAAAAAAATGATTTATTATATAAAAAAAATTCATTACGATTACTGAGCATTTCGCTGGAACTCTTTAAGCGTCAAGCAATCTGAATGATATTTTCGTGGTTTCCCTTTACGTGTAACGCAAAATATGATTGTTTTTTAAAAAAAAACATTCATAAAGGCAGCAATGTTTAAATATTTACATAAATTATGATTTATTTTATCTTTACTCCTTGTTAAATCAAAACAAATTGATTGAGGGCAATTAATTAGCAAGGTAGATAGTCTTACGCGGACATTAAGAAATGAATTGGGAGATTTTGATAGGTATATATATATATTATAATAATTTGAATAATTATTCGTGCAAAGTAATTAATAAAGATCGGAAATTGAAAGATACAATCAAATTCGTAATAAATGATACGAATAATTATTTTCATGAAAAAGTTTTTTATTTTTAATTCTCATCGGAGAATTAAAAAAAATTACGGTTGCATGGCTTTTATTTCGTTTAAAAAAATGTGCCATTAATGTGCATTTTTAATTATAACGATTTTAAAACATTAATAGTAAACTTATAAAATTCAAAGGGTTTTAGTTTTGAACTCGTTCTGTTAAATCAAATTTTTAAATATTAAAAAATGCTAATATAAGCAACTATACTTCAGTTATAATAGAACCAGACGCTTCAAACTAATAACTATGGTTGAAAAAGCAAATATCCTTCCTTCGGTTTTAATTAACCCAAGTTCTGAAAACCGAAACTAAACAAAATCGAAACTATAGTATATAATTGCTCGTAATCTGAATGATCTCTGGTTTTAAAACTTCAAAAAGCAAGCAAATAAATTATGAGTAATGAATAGACATCTTTAAGCAATATACAAAATAATATACTGGTTTACGGAAATGAAAAAAATTAAGAATTTAAATTAAATTGCTTTTTAATGATCAACATTGATTACGCGCAATGCTAAGGTACGGCGGGGATGTCAGAAAATAATCCCTAGGACGACGCGAACGCCACTTTTTGTGCGTAAAACCGGTCTGTATCTTCATAGGAATTGGTAACTAATTTTAAACCATAGTTGCTACTAAAGAATGGCAACAAGAAGGTGATAACGTCGGATCAATGGGCTTTTCGCATTGTGATTGGCTGTTGAATATCACTTTTGGTTTCAAGAATTTGGAAAGTTATCGCGTTTATTGTTGTTGTTGTTGATTTACGTCGCACTAGAGTTGCACAATGGGCTATTGGCGACGGTCTGGGAAACATCCCTGAGGATGATCCGAAGACATGCCATCACAATTTTGATCCTCCGCAGAGGGGATGGCACCCCCGCTTCGGTAGCCCAACGACCTGCACGCGAAGTCGAGCACTTTACGNCAATACCGCACACCCTCGGTATAAACAGAATCCCAGACCCGTGGGTCACCCACCCGCACACTGACCGCAGCCAGTGATGCTTGACTTCGGTGATCTGATGAGAACCGTGTCTTAACGATCAGTCCACTGCGGGACCGCGTTTATTGTGAATTAAATTAAAAATTTAAATAATTTTGTGCATGTCTGTCTGTGTTTTCGCGTATTCTAGTATTTGGTATGTTGAAGCAATTGATTCATTGATGGATTCTGTTTACGTTTATTTCGTAAGCAATTACTAGACAAGAGGAGATTTCTGTTAATAAAAGAAATTAGGCGAAAATGTTTTCGACTTTTTAGATATTTATAAATTTAACAATAAAAATTAATGTTTTCTTTGCTATGTTTATTATTTGTTTTTGAATAAAATTATGTCATTTTGATGTTAAGAGCATGTTAACGGGTGCCCTTAAATACTTTTAAATTAAGTATTCTCTTATAAAAGCGTAGCTGCAATATTTATAAAATTTTCTTTCGTTCTGTTGTGAGGAAAAGAAAATTCGGATCTAAATTAAAATAATAATTATACCACGTAATGTCTAATCATCCTATGCATATTTCTTAGCATTTGTACTTAATTATTAAGCATTGTAATTGTAACAAATTCTACAGTAAAGTTCAAATTGATGTTTAAGTGCTTATATATTATGTTTATTCGACATTAAAAGTGTTTCGACTTATAACATTTTATAAATGAATTTGCAACGCGCAATTTTAATAAAACTATGGCAAGAGTTAAAAATTATCGATAAAATTTTTATGTGGTTATCAATTATTATTTATTTATTTGGAAGTAAGGGATTCTTAGTCTTGAAAACTAAAACATACTAATATCAGAAATAAAACGTTTATGAATGATATCCATTGCTATAAACAGCATCAAGACGATTATCTACAGAATACATTTCCAATAATAATTATTATATTTCAACGTAATACAAGAAAATTTATTTTTAATGATAAAACAAGTTTTTAAAACAAATTTATAATAAAATCCATTCAAAAATACAGCAAAATTATGACGATCTCTACAGCAATATAATAAAGTTTGTAAACAAATAAGGGTAATGACGTCATGACTGGTGACAGTGGTTTGAATATTGGAACGATCGGTGCAGTGCACTGGTGTAACCAGTCTTAATATTGGAACGGTCGGTGCGGCAAACCAGTGTAACCAGTGACACCGGTGCGAATATTGGAACGTGCCTTTGTTTTTCTTTTCCCATGTGTTTACGCCTGAGCAACGAACGGTATTACGCAAGCTACATCATCAAGCTATTGTAAAGCTGTGAGAAATGAATAATTTTGATATTCTTAACGTTTCACGCTAGTGCGTTTCAATAATTATTGATGTTGTTTTCCCTAAGGAGGTAATTATGCTAAACTGATAAACTTAATAAACAAACTTTTTTTTTTTTGTTCTTCGATTCCTCCCCTCTTTCTCTTTTTTTGTAAGTTAATTGTTCTTTAGGCCACTTCATGATTACATATTCTTCTAAAAACTTCAATTTGAATGCAATGTCGAATGAGTTCATCAATAATTTTTAGAATTTAATAAAAATGCATCAATGTCTTGAATATATATGTCATGATCTTGGCCAAAGGATACTCTGAGAAGGTCTTTCCATTTCCCTTCTAATCTTCAGTAAGAGTTCGTCCCGAATAGGGACGAAATATATAGTACCTCCAAAACCCGATCCACCGTCTCCCCTACATTTTTAGTGGGGGTGCGTGTAGTTCCTGGGGTGTTAAGTAATCCGAAACTAATCGACTAACCACTGTCACAGAAAAGGGGGAATTGCAACCTGCCGGGGTCAACTAGCTTTCAAAAGATATCAGAAGAGACTCACTCTACATTATGCTTTTTCTCCTTCTAAGAAAAACTTAAAATATATTTTTTTAAACTCTAAAACGGCTTTAGTTATTTTCAAAATGGTTTTATCATTTTATTTAACATGCACTTTTTCTAATTACATCTTGAATTGTTTATTATTTTGATTTGATTATTTAGAGAACTAATAATAACCAGAGTATTTAAATTTATAAAATTTTACTATGTAGTCATATGAAAGTAATTCATATAAAGTAACTACATTAAAAATAAATTTATATTTTCTCTATAAATCAAATAAAGTTTGTTAGTTTTTAAAAAAATTGATTTGCTAATTTGTAAAATGTTTTATGTTAAAGTAACATCTTGAGTTCAAGATTTTATTTTTTATTACTTATTTAATTTTTTCTTTGAATTACAATTCAAATACAAATATTTTTCATAACCTTTTTTTTAATTTTAATAAATTTTTTTCAATTTTTTTTAAAGATAGTTACATTGTTTTGAAACTAATTAAATTCTACCACTTTAAAAAACTATGTTGACATTTAATCCATTGTTTAAGCAAATATGTTTTCTTACTGTGTAAATTCGATTTAGACTTAAATATTTGAATTTCGCAATTTGAATGCACTAAATTAACCTGCACTAGAAACTAACTTCATTTTAATTATTACTTTTGCTAACTACATTTATTATTATATAAATAACTCCGAATCGGAATTATGATTCGATTTTAAAAAATAAACACCGGGGATATTTGTTATTTGTCACAAATTGAAACATCAAAATTAAAAATTGTTCGATTTAATGATCACAAAATTTTAAATCATATTAAGACAGATCTAGTTTCCGATTATATCACTTAACTTATTCTAATAACTTAGCTCGGATACATTAAAAACTTCACCCACAAACTCATATTCATCATTTTTACTTTCATTATTTCTACTTAATTATAGTTACTTTAAAAACTTATCACCAAAGATATTATTTAACAATAATGCAAGAAGAAAAAAAAAATCCTTATTGATCTAACACAGTTATTTAGTATAAATTTATTAAACTGCATATTTTGAGAGCGCAGTTTTATATGAAGTTTATTTTAAAGGAATAAAGGAAAATATAACTTATTAAAAAGTGAATATATTTTATTTATCAGCTTTTGCTTGTTAAAAGGTATTTATATTTTATCAAATAATTTTTATCAAGTAATATCTTGTGATTACTTTATATAATAAAGGAACTTCATTTTTAATTAAATTATTATAACCCTAATAACAAAGAATAATGGTAAAAGTGGGTAATGAACGCATTTTATTTGTAAATGTCGTAAATAAAAGGACAAATAAATAACTTACAAAAGTATAACTTATTTCTAAGAAATTCCTTAAAAACTATCTTTGATAAGCTTTATAATTTTCTAAACGTAGAAGTAATATTATAAGAAAATTGATGTAACTCTTTCATTTCAGTTTTGAGGATTCATAAAAAATACCATCATTTCTGTCGTAAAAATAAATTATAACATTTTCGACTAATAAGCTGAAGTGACAGTTTAAATTTATTTTTCTAATAGATTATTTCGATGGATCAATTAAAAACAACAAAATAAAACAATTCTATGTTACATTTTAATGTATAGATTTGTGAAGCTGCTCACTGTAATTATTATAAATATTTATCAAAATAATCGAAGTTAATTTATAAAAAAGTACGATACCGAAATTTTTGAAAGAAAAGGCATTTATTGATTTTCATTAAAACTTACAACATAACAACAGATTTAGACAAGTTTACTTTACAAAATTTTATCAAATACAAAAAATTATGTTTATCTAAGAGATATATTCACATAGATGGTATGCTGGCTAACCCTGGGAGGTTTTCGTGTTTTTCCCCTCCATGTAATGCGGGTTAGTTTTATTATATTTCGATTAACTATAACTACCTTAATTAAAGTTTGCAGTGCAGGAATTTCTACTCTCCATGAATGGCAAAGGAGGGTCAGGGAAGAGAAATTAAAATAACACATTGAATACATACTTCTTTCTATCAATATAGAAGAGTGAAAAATTGTGAATAAAAATTACATTACGCACTTTTAATATGAATTCTAAAAATTTCTCGATATTTAATACATAGGTATTGCATAATTACAACACTTAATTTATATTTTTAGAAAAAAGTTTTGAAAAGTGTATTAATTAGGAATTACAGATTATGGTTAAACCAATAAAAAAAGACTAATAGTTTCAAAATCTAGTGAATCAAATCTGAAAACATCAAAACCAGTTTGACTATCTGAAGTAACAAAGAGAAGCTTAACTTATTTTTATTTTTTAATTTATCGTGATGAAATTTCGTGGTGTTTATAATAATCACATTTCTCATTCTTTCTATTTCATCTGGCAATCAAACTGGTTTCAATATTTTCAGTGTTGCGTTCCTTAGCAATGCTTAATTATATTTTGATACCGTTTGTATNAATTTCGTGGTGTTTATAATAATCACATTTCTCATTCTTTCTATTTCATCTGGCAATCAAACTGGTTTCAATATTTTCAGTGTTGCGTTCCTAAGCAGTGCTTAATTATATTTTGATACCGTTTGTATTTTTCTCTCGTGAATATTAATTATGTCCACTAATGTTCTTTTACTTCCTTTTTTTTAAAGAATTTTACAATACATGTGTATATTTTCATATTTTTCTTCATTTACTGTTTTAAATAAAAATTTCGTAATACTTTAATGTTCGTGTGTACTTACATTAAAGCCCTAAAAGCAGGGATAAGTGCTTGTTCATGTTTGGATGGTGTGTGGTCTTGTGTACTAGCTATTTTTTTTTCTCTTTACCATGGAAAATACAACTATCCCAGCTATTGGAGTAATTAAAACTATTTATGGAATGGAAAAAATTGCAGCCTTTTAAATTTTTTTAATGTAAATGTTTTTTTAAACCTACAAATGAGTGTACGATATATTTTTTTTAAAAAAAAGGAAAACTGCAGTTTTGTGATGCTTTATAGTATATTGGAAGATCTTTACGTCATTTATTCGATTTTAATTAATCTCACTNATCTCACTTTATTCAGAAGCTAAATTTTTTAATTCTGAAATATCTTTAAAAAACAAAGAAAAAGGTTTAAAAAAAGGGGAGTAATGTATTTAAAAAAAAAATTCCACTCTCAAGATGAATAAAAACAAGAAAATTATTACTACTAAATAAATAAAATGTGTATAAAATGAACGGATTTTCAGCGAATACAATTTTCATAATAAATTACAAGCTTATAAATAAAAAGTAAGCTATTGGTTTTTAAAACGCCCCCATATCAGTTCTTCAAAAGGACAGAGAAAGAAAAAGATTTTAAAAAAGAGTTGAACTGGGAGAAAGCAAGACCACCTACGAACAAGATTAGACTCCAATCGTCTCTTGGGGGTGGAAGTTGTCTTGCTCTCTTACTCAAAGGTAGAAAGTGACTTGAGTTTCAAAGGCAATATTACAAAAAGTAATGAAGATAAAAAAAAAATTGACCTACATTTTCGTGGATAGGAAAGATTGAAAAAATTATTAGTATTTTTTTTTAATTGATCACTCCGATTCTTAAACAAGAAAATTTGATTCAAAGTATGACAAGCCCGCCATAGACTTTACATGTTAAAAGCAAAATTGAGGATTCTGCTTGGTTCAAAACTTTTTTCCCGGCAACCACGATTGGGGACCCGACTTTCTGATCATTTGAGCTCGCCCCGTGCTCTTTGCTCGCCAAGGTCATGATTATTCAGCGTTAAAAGTTTCTTCTTTGCTGTTACTACATTTTTGTAAAAAATCTCTTCCTAAAATAAATTCATCTTAAAAAACGTCTGTTTTTATTGCAATTTTCAACTATATTATATATTAGAATTTTTTTATTATTTTTTATTAGGAGTTTAGAAAAATTTATATGATTTAGAAGTGTTTCCCCCAGGGGTGCCCTTTCCCTCTTAACTGATGAGGACATTCCCCCTAAACTGGAAAGATATGCTCCCACATTTCTAGGAACAACCAAATTACAAAAAAAAGAAAAAGAAATTAAGCAACAATTTTTAGTTGTGTCTGATCTTTCTCAATTAGATTCCCTGTTAGGAACTTTATCTAAAACATTGTTTTCAAAAGACAAAATTAACATAGGGGAAAAGAAAAGATACCCATGCATAACTGGCATACAAACATGGTGATGTATTTTTTTTTTTAAATTTTAACCAATTTAACCATTTGTTCAATTCCGGCTATCAAGCTCAAATATAATGCTATTAAATATTTGTTAAAATTTAAATAATTATTTTGTTTAAAAAAATGAATATATACATGTGGATCAGGGCTCGAAAAACTGGCCATCCTCGGTGGTCAAAAATTCCTCGCGGACAACGTATTTCTCGAATCCGACATCCGCACGGACGGCTATTTTCCAGTTAAAGCTCATGATACATTTTCAATTTTTGTTATCTTACAAGAGTCTAGCGCCTCACTTCTAAAATGATCCTCTAATCTAGAAATCCCGTTAATTCCTTCGTCACTATTAGTATTTGTTACTATTAGTAACCTAGTATTTCTTTTATTGCTGTATAATGTAATCTTAGTAACTATTACTAATTCATTGTGCTATTTATATAAATGTTTGTAATAAATAGGAGAAAATTATATTTTTATTTATTTAGAAGCTACGGGTTAGTTTCAAAGAAGGACGGGTACATTGTTGGACATGCGGTCCTTGGGGACGGGTAAAATTTCTGAGTTTTTTCGAGCCCTGGTGTGGGTAGGAGGAAATTTTAAAAAATTTATATTTTTTTTAGTGATATATATTTTTTAAATTACATATTTTCATATACTATATGTATCAATTTACAATAATAATCTCAATGGGTGTTGATCTTATGATTAGTTTAAAAATATTTAAAAAAATGATGAAATATTTCATTGCAATATACAGTTAATTTTTTTCTTAAAAAAATCATTTGTTTAAAAGTATAATTCAAATTAGATAATTAATAAAGGAAACTAGGTACTAAGAATGGATAAGAGTGGTGTTAAATTACTATTTTCCATTAGCTGTATGGAAAATAAGTTGCTGGTAATAACTCCCATGTTAGAATCGCAGTGACACGGCGACATTGTTGCAGAATGTTACAGAGTTCTTGCAGAAAGAATCTCCCTTTGGAAAGTAAAAAATTTTGATTTTCTTTTCTGCATAAATTTTCGACATTTTTTTTCTCTGAAATTATATTTAAAAGATGCCTCTTCATGCATCAGAGGGGAAAGAAATGTTCTTATATTTTCGATTCTTATTTGAGAAGAAGGAAAAATAAAGAATATTGAAGCAAAAAAGTTATTTTCTGTGGAAATGTTTCAGCGATTTTTCCCCCACCCCAATTATACTCAAAAGATACCTTTTTCACGCATGAAAGGAAAGAAATGATAGTTATTATTATTTTTTTTATTACCTTTTGGGAAAAATAAAAACATTTTGGGTTTTCTTTTCTTTTACTAATTTTAAAATTTTTAATTATTTTTTTATGTGATGATGAATTATGAAATGCTAAAATATAAATAATTAGTTAGTGTGTTTTCCTCTTACAAAATGTGAGAATATCGCCAATGATATTAGAATAGAAAAAAGTATTACATATTCATTTTTTAAAAAATGCATACAATTTTATTATATTCAAATAGGCTTTTCTTTGTAATTACAATATTTCTGTTACTTTAAATTTAATTAATAACATATTAGTTATTACTAAAAGTATCTCGCATAAAGATATTAGTGCTAGAGAGGTTTGTCGCAGAAAGCCCATAAACTTCTGCCACAGGGGTAATAACTGTATTATGTTCTAGCTGTACCCATTTAGTTTTATGTTTATTTAGATAGTGCCATTCCTTGTGGCAGAATTTTTTTGGACTTTCTGCAGCATAACTTTCGAATATTTATATCTTTCTGCAAGATACTTTTAAAAATAACAAATGTACATGTTACTAAATTAAAATAACAAAAGTATCAACTTCAACAAAAAAAGAAACTTTCGGATCAAATAAAATAATTTTGTTAATTAAATATGTAATATTTTTTATTCTAATATTATGGGTTATATTCTTGCATTTTGTTGAAGGAAAACACACTAATTCTTTCCTTTTTCACACTTTGTAAATCATCATCTCATTTAAAAAAATTTTTTTAAATTCATGAAATTCGTAGCAGTAGATAGAACTCTTGAAAAAAAAGTTACTAAATGCGCTTTTTCGTTTCCAGAGTCGGTTGTTGTAATAAATAATATATTAAAAATATCGTATTTTAGAACTATGTAGAAATCAATAGTAATAGCTGCATTAAAAAAATTAGAACAAAATTTTCTGCAGAAAAGAAAAGCAAATTTTTTACTTCATTAGTCTTTATTTTTCATTGTTCTCATATGAGAATAGAAAAAGTAATTTTTTTCCACTCAGATGCGCGGGTAAGGCATTTTTTGAGTATAATTCGGAAGTAAAGATAAAATCTTTCAAAAATTTCTGCAAAAAAAAATCTTTTTACTTCCCAAGAGAAAAATCTCTATAAGAAATCGGTAACATTCTGCGACAATGTCGCCATGGGGGTGCCATTAAATAAATCTTCTTAAATACGTGATTAGTGTATACCAATACTGAAAAAACACTTGTTCTGCCCTGAGAAACTTACGGTCAATGTATTCTGATTTAAATTAATTTACTTTTTGTTGGATATCTAACAGACAAAATAATTCCCTATTGTTAAAATTTGAGGAACGAAAATAAACACGTTTTTTATTTGTTCATTGATCAGTTTTTTATAACCTTCATTAAACAGCCGGCCCAATTTTGGGTTTGGCTGTTATTGTTTAACTTCCTAGCTTTTAAATTTTGAACCCAATCTAGAAGACAAGAGAACTCTTGGATCAAGTAATCTGAGAAATTTGCCTTTGTGGAGGACTTTTTGATGGAACTAACCTGTTTTTGCATTACATGGAGAAGGCAAGCTCCCACTAATAGTATGGCGGCAAGGGGACTCTTAACACATAATCCGTCTACCACTGAGGATATTTTACATCAGCACTGTGGTCTGTGTGAGCCGGGTGCAGAACTTGTATCGACCAGCCATTGCTGGGATTCAAACCCGATTCACCTTATTAGAAGGCGAATACTCTATCTCCTGAGCCACCATGGATGTGTTTTTTTATTTATTTTCTTATATACGTCGTTGAACAGCCAACCCAATTTTTTGGATTTACGACTTCTAATGTTCAACTCTGTAGCCTTGTAATTTTAAACCCAATTCAGAAGACAAGGGAATGTCTGGATTTAGTATTGGGGGAAATATGCCTTCTTGGAGGAATTTTTGATGCAACTAACTGGCATTTGTGTTACATGAAGAGGAAAACCTCCCACGGTTAGCCTGATGGCAAGGGAACTCTGACCCATGATTCGTCTCCCTCTAAAGATATTCTTAAGTCAGCACTGTGGTCCGTGCATGCCGGGTGAGGAATTCGAATTTTAGCCATTGCTGGGATTCGAACCCGATTCACCTGATTAGGAGGCGATTGCTCTATCCCCTGATCCACCACGACTCAAAAGGTCTTACTGACAGTTTGTAATAATTAAATAAGTACGTTCATTTATGAATGAATTTACTCCTCGTATTATTTAAATTTTGTGTTGAAGATATACTAAATATGGCCGAAAAGAATAATCCCAACTAAAACAAAAATCCAAAAAGTATCCTCCTCCAAAACAGATTTTAAAATCTTAAGTCATTAGCCAAAAAAAATTTTAGCCTCAAACTAAACCATGTGTGATTATCCTATTTGTCATTTTTGTTAATGCCATAATGAAACATTAATGATGTAATAAATTTAGCTGGAAAAATATCTCCCGCTAAAAGAGATTTCTAAAATCATCTCCTTCTCAAATATTAAAAAATAGTGCCTTAAAAAAAATCAAAAATATTTCTTAAATATCTAATTTAATGTCTTAAAAGTATAAAATTGTATAAATTATTTAAAAAAGTATCTTCCCGAAAATAGCTATGAAGACTTTCCCTATGGGCTCCTGATATGATGTAAATTTCAAAAGTTATTCTTTTCTTACATAGTTATAGAAGAAAATTTGTAATTAGATTTTATAATGAATGCCATTGAGTTATTTTTTTAACTCAAGTTTTCCATTTGCATACATCTAAATTTCTTCTTTTGATCTACAAATCCTGGTCGCTTAGTCATCACGGCATATAAAAATTTGTAGCTAATATTTTAGTAAAATTTTATATGCTTGTTTCTGAAAAATTTTGCATTTTTGTAGAACCCTGACTTTTATGTAAGTTATGCTGATATTCCAAATTGAAAAAACTATTCCAATAATGTCATAAAAATGGTATATATTACATGAAGAAAAAGGTGGTGTTTAATTTTACATTTATTTCTCTGGTAAACTTGAAATTTTTTCACTCGAGGATATCTTGAAACTCTGAAAAAAATTGGCAATCCCATTACGTATCACTAATGTCTTCATTTTCAGTTATGAAAAAAAATCTGTTTGCATAAATGAAAGAACAAACCATTTTATGAATAAATACCTTCTCATTTTAAAATCAAATTAATGTTTCTGTTGAAATTTAAAACATTCAAAATTCTATTTTAATTTTCAAATGAAAGAAGGTTTCATTGCATTCATCTTATAAGTCATCGAACTTTCACCAAAATAAAAATTCTTTCCTTGTGTTTTTTTTTATAATCAAACTAATGTTTGCGTTTTTGCTGAGGAATTATCCTAAACCAAGCAGACTATTCTAAAGTTAATTTTCATTGATATTTTATCTCTTACTTTAATTCTTCATTTACTGTTATTTGATTTCCAATAGTTATTTCAGCTTGTTTTGATTTAGTTTGCACTTAATTGCTACTAAATTATTGAAATATTTATAAATTTGTATAACTTATATTTTTTTAGGCAAGCATGGAATCAAATCAAGTACCAACAAGTAACTTTATTAAACTCTATCAACATTACATAACAGCTGCTATTGATCTTACTGCTGGATCTGCAGGTATTTAATTGTGTGTTTCATATTTTTAATGTCTCAGATTAAAAGTAATAAAGTTTTTTCATTTAACTTTAGCTCTAAAAATTGCATAATGTCAATATTTGTTCCTTTTTTTTAAATAATTTAGTTTCTTGTTAGAAAGTTCATAAATTAGTATGTTTTGATAGAGCACTGGTTATAAAATGAAATTTTATATAAATCTTTCAACATATATGGCCAAGTAAAGTAAATTAAAGATGCCACAAGCAGCAGAATAAGTGTGCAAGAAGACGTTGAAAACTCATGTTAAATGTTCTTTTAAAATAGAACTTAAAAAACAAAAAATAAGCCTTGTTCCTGATTTTCAGCACCCATGCAATATAAGTCTTACCCAAGACTAGCCAGTTATGTCAATGAATGGCTGTGTGGAGATCTAAATGTGAAGTATAATAATGTAGATGCCAATCTGAAAGCAAATTTACTCTACATACAGTGAAGCTTGAATAGCTTAGCAAAAACAATTATCAATTTTAATATTTAATAAACTTAACAAATTGCCACTGCAATCATATTTTGTATTAATAATTTGTAACCTATCCGATTTAATCAGAACAAGCAACCTTCTGTTCTGACTATAGAAAAGTAACCAACTAAACATTAAAAGAGAAAATTAAATGAGGCCTTGATGAAATGTGCTGAACTGCATCTAAATTTATGAGCAGGTCATCTTTTTTCCTTCTTTATTCACAGTAGAAATCATTATAATTTATGTAATTGTTTTTGAGATTTGAAATTTTTGGTAAACTATTTAGAGCTAAAATAAGTGAAAGAGAAGTGAAGAGAAAAGTTTTATGTTAAGTATTTTAGTTATACTTTTTAGGTTGATTTATTTTTTCCTCTTGCAGGTGGTGCTGCTTGTGTTCTTGTAGGTCAACCTTTAGACACAATAAAAGTGAAGATGCAAACCTTTCCTCATTTGTATAAAAACAGTATTGTATGTTTTAAACAAACAATTTTAAATGAGAGAATACGAGGCCTATATGCTGGAACTGTACCTGCTTTAGTTGCTAATATTGCTGAAAACTCTGTTTTGTTTTGTGCTTATGGTGTTTGTCAAAATGGTGTAAGAATGTTTACCAGGAAAGATAGCATTGCAAGTTTAAATCCTCTAGAAAATGCTACAGCTGGTTTTTTTGCTGCATTATTTTCTTCTGTTACGCTTTGTCCAACTGAACTTATAAAATGCAAGCTTCAAGCAATGCGAGAAGTTCAAACTACACATTCTCCTCAATCAAATCAACAAAAAATACGAATGTGAGAATACTTTGTAATTCTGGTATATATTAATATATTTTAAATGGTATTCTTAAATTTAGCCCTCTAACATTCACTCAAAGCTTTAAACATCTCACCTTTCAAAATCTTAAGTTAAATTTGAGAATTAAGCGTACTCCTAGCTACTAAAAAATAATTTGAAATTTTTTAATAAACATATCTGAATGTAAATACTCCTAGGCTTTTTTAAATTTAAATATGTTGGAAATAAAAATTTTGTGCAATTTCGGAAAATTTGTTTTAAGTTTTTGTTAAAATAATTTTATGCATACCTGTATGTTTGGAAGTTCTCATAAGCATAATTTTAGAAATATGTTTTAGTTTTAGATGAGCATGCCCCACAGCTGCCATCTTTCTACTCCCTGTGAGAAATTTTTTTTAGTGGTTAAAAGTTTTATGCTTTAATGTGTGATTCTTTGTTTAGTAAATTAGATATCAAATCTCCCTGGAAAATCATCGTTTGCTTCCAGTGTGGCACTGTACTGGCAACTGCCCTGGCCTATCATTAACATGCTGCAGCCCTCGGCCTTTCCAGTCGTCCATCTTAAGTGTTTAAGGTTTCAAAATGGGGAGAAGATTTTCCAACCTTGTTCCTGCGCACAACCTGCTTGTCCTGATCACCTTTTTTGCCTTGGCGCTTCTTTTAAGCAGCTGCTGGTTGATCGGGACTTTCTGCAGATATATAGGGAACTGATGCGACAGGGCCTTCTGGACCTGGTCTAGACGTTCTTCTCCAGGGGGACGTGTAACAAAAACAACAGAAGTGAAAGTACCAAAATAATACAACTGGACTTAAACTATCAAGTTTCATAATTAAAACATATTTACTATACTTGTAAAATGTGCCTTTTTCTTACATCTGTTGGCACATTGAATAAGATTCTATCAACAAAAAAAGTTTGTTACCATATAGTGTTAATGATTTCAGTGTAATAATTTAATTTATTCTACATAATTTAATCATTAGAAAATTTTAAAACTTTGATGGTGATAATTGTCTTTCAAACTCTTGTATGTGTGGGATTCCTTAATCCCAGAAATGATAAGTTCACCTACTTAAAAAATGTCTTTTACAAATTCAATAGGGAGTTTACAGGGTATGTCAACCATCAAAGCTGTCATAGTTAACATTAAACATAGTTATAATATTTCTACTTTGTTTCAGGTTCAAAATCAACTATACTTAGATTTCTAATTTAAAAATCCATCTTGATTTTTTAAAAAAAATAATGAAAATTATGTTTGTTGGATATTTCCCTTAGTTCAAAATATTTTAAATCTACTGTTTGTAATTGATATTTAATTAATTTTTTAAAACTTGAGTGAATAATTCAATCTTGTTTAAAATAATCATGTGGTATAATACATACAAACTAAATTTCCTTAGAACTTTATAATTATTTAAACAAATGAAAATACATAAGAAATTCAGCTTTTCTTAAATAAATTTTCCACGTCTAAATAAATAGCCTTAACTAAATTGGAAATTTAAACTGAGCCAAGGATGGCGCCAGACTCTGCTTGACAAGGGGTCAAGTCTCCCCCGACAAGGGGGCTCAAACAAATTAATTCAAAATATTTAAATTAAAACATATTTTATACTTAACATTTTTTTCCAGCGTGTTTCTAAGAATCTAAAATCACTAATATTGATTCCCTAATGTGCAGATTCCTTTTAATGTAAATTTAAATGAAAAAAAATTTCTGTTATCAATGTATTTTGCACTGTATGGTGCAATTTACCATACATAGTAAGCTTAAAAATTACTTTTGTAATAAAGAAAAATAGCTGTAGCAGTAACCTCTATTTCAAAAAATTTCTACGCTTCTTACTCTCATAACGCAAAAATTGTTCGTTAATAAAAATTTGAATTTTCATGCAGATTTAACAAAACATTTAATTTAAGGAACATTTTGAGATAAAATGTTATTTTATTATGCATCGATTGGCTTTTGAATCATTTAAATGTTTCGCTAATAAAGTTTTAAGTACATTTTTTGCATCCATGTATTCTATCTAAAGATATCATGCCCCGTTTTGAACGAACTTCGAAATGGTTAGGCCCATGAAATCGTAAAATTCTAATTTTTTTAAATTCTTACATAGTATAATTTTACGGACAAAAAAGGGCTATTTTAATCAGGGGAGTAGATGTTAATATATATTGTAAATAAATACAAAGAGACTTTTAAAATTTCTCCTTGCAATTCCTTTTTCTTTTCAAAAATGCTTTTAAAGTGGACATATATGTCCGGCAAAATGCTAATACAGTACAGAACCCGTTATCCCGAAACCGGAAAACCAAAAAATTGGAACGGAATTCGATAAATTTTCCCGCCATTTTTTTAAAAAAATGTTTTTTTCCTCACAAGATTTTAGGATTTTTCTTTCTTTTTTGAAATGTTACCATCATTTTAGAAATAATCATTAGTGTATTACTTCATCGTTTTTTCTTCTTCTTAAGATTATTTCCAAATATATATACAGTAGGGAACCGATTATCTGGAACGATCAGGTCCATCGATATTCCGGATAACTGGTTTTTCCGGTTTTCTGAATCGCTACAAAAACCCGTTTTTTTTATAGTTAAACCCAACTAAAAAAAAAAAAAAAATTGGAAATAATCTTAAAAAGAAGAAAAAACGATGAAATAATACACTAATGATTATTTCCAAAATGATGGTAAGGTAAACATCTTTCAAATAAGAACGAAAAATCCTAAAATCCTATGAGGAAAAAATTTTTTTTTTTTTATAATGGCAGGAAAACTAATCGAATTTCATTCCGGTTTTCTGATTTCCGGATAACGGGTTCTGTACTGTATATATTTTTTAGTTAGGTGTAACAATAAAACAACGGCTTTTTGTAGCGATCAGAAAACCGGAAAAATCAGCGATGGTCCCGATCGTTCCGGATAATCAGTTCCCTACTGTATCTCCATTTGAGAAAAAGAGTATTTTAAGTCCATAGTATTTGTATTAATTATTAATACAAATACGATGTATTAATAAAAAGAGTATTTGTATTTTAAGTCCATCGGCTTAAAATACAAGATTCAAACAATATAGCTTAAATTTTTAATTATTTTTCTACTTACAAATTTTAAATTTGCGTCCGAGAAACAAATATTAACTAACTTACATTTTTTTTAAAAATTGCCACATATGGCTGATGTTTGTCTGCCTATGTTTTCGTTTTTCTGCAAAGCTGAAAGCACATTTTCTACCAAGATTTCTGTTTCGCCCTGCAGAAGTTTTTTACATATTGACATATGCCTGCAACGAATAACCTTTCACACAGTTAATTAATTATTATTTACCACATATCAAAGCGAAACATTCTTTCCTCTATGATTTAAATTTGCTTTTGCTTTCATAGTTACGAATTTTAAGTCGCAAAAAATGGATACTAAAAATTAAGAAGCTAGGGGACCAAATTTCAAAAAATAAGAGTTTTTTTTTCTTAGGACTTATTTGATCAATTTTGCTTAAATTTTGTATTTTTACATTTAAAATTGCATACCTTACATTTTTTAAGTTTCTCGACTTCCCTTAAGTAAAGTAATAATAAATGTTTACTGAAAGTTTTATTTTGCATGAAATTATCTTTAGAAAAACAAATAAGAATTGATTGATCTGATTAGAATTGAATGCAAAACTTTTTAATTCACTTAAAAAAAAATTTTATAAAATGAAATATGCAGAAACTAAAGTTAACATTAAAGGGTCCTAACTTTCAAGCGCGCTCCTGAAAAAACTATTAAATTTATTCCAATGTTTCCATTTATTTTTTTGCGCACTGTACATTCATTTGAAGTATATGTCAATATTGCTGATAATAGTAAAATATTTTTTCATTTTTATATAGAAAGGTAATTTAGCTGGTGGTTATCCATATATATATATGCTTTGATAATTTTAAGGATTAAGATTGAAAGAGAAAAATAAGGTGAAATGATGTTCACTTTCAATATTAATATAAGATATAAATAAATAAAAACGTCTTTCATTCTGTCCACTTTTGTTAATTTCATAGTAATAGCTTCGAAATAATCGCTCGATGATAATATCTCAATCTCGTCATACCTCAAGAAGGTTTTGCGTTTTGATTGAATCAAAATTTTTTTATATAATTGCAAAAATTCGTTTTTCAAAGGTAATGCCTTGCAAAAAATATAGTTTTAAATAATTATAAAATGTTTAATATTTTTATTTATAATATGCGTTAGAAAAATTCTGAAACCCGATTTTGGAAATCCCAGGGTAGTAAATGGCGACTGATGCACGTTAAATCTGTCGAGTTGCAAATTTCTCCATGTTCCCATAACAAATCAATATCTCTGGGGGTACTTATTCAGGAGTTTCCTTGTCTTCTAGATTGGTTCAAAATTACAAGGCTACGGAATTGAACATTAGTAGTTGTAAACCCGAAAATTGAGTTGGTTGTTCAACGGCGGATAAAATAGCAAGATATACAAACTTTTATATAATTTTATGGAAGGTAATTTTAAATTGGAAAATACAAAATTTGAATGAAATCTGTTGAATAATCCGAGATAACTAAAATTTTAAGCAAACTGACTTTTTTGAAATTTGATAACTCAGAAACTAATTGATCGATTGCTAAGAAAGTTTGTATTTTGAAATTAAAAGGATGTAAAAATATGCAGAACATACAATTCAATATATTTTATTATTATTTAATAAACTAATAACAAATAATTATTTGAAATTATTTTTGCTTAAGGATTTGTGTATGAAATGTTTTTTGTAATTTTATGCAAACATTTTTTAACACACTCAAAAAGTTCTCAAGATAATGGGCTATAATCGAAAAGTGAAGTTAAAATTAAAGGACCCAGACTTTCCAACTCTCTCTTTGCCATAACTTCAGACCATATCTTCCTCATTGCGGCTGTTTCCGCATTTTGAAAATTAAAAACCCAAAACTATAGACAAACTTGTATATTTATCCAGAACAGAATGCTCTTTACTGTTCATTTTCGTAACTTAAAATATGGTATTGACTTTTTGTACGTGAAAATATGATTAAATCAAAAGTAATCAAGGTGTTCCCTTTTGTACATAACATGCACTGTACATAAAATAAGTCAATGAGAAATGTTATGTTGATTAATATATGTTTTAAGATATTGAATTCGAACAGTTTAATTGTTTTGAATCAATCAACAATCTTTTTACTACTAAGAAAATGATTTTGTTGCCGTTTTTCTTTTTTCCCTTGAATCCGTGTAAGTAAATGATTTCCAACATTTAAAAGTATTTAAAAAAGAAAGACGAAAGTATTAAAAAAATTTATTTTATTCTTATACTTTCATTTTGCTTGAATATTTCCAAAAGCAATTATGTGATTCCATAAACCATTGATAAACACATTACATGATAAAAAATTGGTAAAGAAGAGGACCTGGGTTTCTTTCTATCCCTCAGGCTTTTGTCAGTTATTCCCCCAGCAATGAGGTATCCCCTTTCTCCAAAAGAAAGAATAGCAGTTTGAAAGATAAGTTTCCAAGAAGGGTGAGGTTGTGTGTGAGGGAAAGGATTTCTAAGGGAGATCGAAAAGTCGTCAATTTCACCCATGTCTAATCGCATCCAGTCTCTAGTTTAACAATGTATGGACAAAGTTATGAGTAGTGCAGTAAAACTACAATTACATAGAATTTATAATATATTTTACTAATTTTTTGTTGCTAATTCTTAAAAATAAATAAATAAAAACTAAAAAGTCAACTACAAAATTTTTATTAGGCATTTCTAAATTAATTTTTGACATAATTTAGAAAAAAATGTGACCAGACTATTTTCTCGACTAGACTTGAAAATTTTCCCGATGGGGGGAGGGCTGACCATGCCCGACAGGGGTGCAATTGCCCCCCCCTGACCCCCTACTGGCGCCGCCCTTGAACTGAGCCACTTTAAAAATAATTATTTCAGAACATTACTATTTTTGTTCATTATAAAATTATGTATTTATTATTTTACTTTGAAGTTTTGAGTTTAATTTGCATGTTTATATTATGGATTTTAGAGGTCCTTGGCTTTTGACTAAACAAATTTTGAAATCTGAGGGAATATCTGGATTCTTTCGAGGATTTGGTCCAACAGTTGCCCGAGAAATGCCAGGATACTTTTTCTTTTTCGGGGGGTATGAATTGAGTAGAATTCTTTTAACCCCAACTGGAAAAAAAAAAGAAGATATTGGTAATAATATTTTTCACCTTTTATCATTTTAGATTGTTTTAATTATTATGATTATAATTACTGTCTTATGCAGGTCTTTTACAAACAAGTATTGCTGGAGGAATAGGTGGTGTATGTTTTTGGCTTGCTATATTTCCTGCTGATGTTATTAAATCCAGGATTCAAATTTCTACCTCATCCAGTTCAATGGTTTTGATCACAAGGGAAATAATTCATGCTGATGGTATGTAATATTAATTTATTAAAATTTGGTAAGGTCATTTTTCCAGCTTTATTATTTTTTTTATTTATGCATTATGCGTATAATTTTGCATCAGACTTAGTTTAAAATACAATTTAATTTCATTAGTTTGAGTATGTAACATTACTTAAAATAGGTTCAATGTAGCTGCTTTGTGTTCTTATGCCTTTAAAACACAGGTGCCAGTTTTTCTTATTTCTAAGGGAAATTAACCTTTTTTTCCTATTCAATTCTTATAATTAAATTTTTATAATTTTCTAGGCTGAAAATTGGACTATTAAAAAAAATAGTATGAAAAGTTTGTTTAAAATAAATGTTTTGCAATGAATTTTTTGGGCAAGTGATTCTTAAGCTGATGAAATTATAAGCTAAGTTTTACTTGCACTACAATTTGTGCAAAATAGAGTTGAAAACACTTGCTGAGCAAAAGCGCATTTATAGGGCCCTAGTTATAATGGTTGAGTAGGTGGGCAACAGATGTGATTCTACACTTTTAGTGTTATCTCAATAAGAACTGGTTTACAATGATGGGATTCACTGAGTACAATGATAGATTTTGAAAAATTTATTTTATGTAGTTATAGATCTTTTTCAGATATTACTCGATTCTTATCCTGTGAGCTCAGTAAAGTTGTGTGGGCTGCATAGAGAGGCAGCCACTAGAAATCCACTCCCTTTTAGTCACTAATTTTTTCCCCAGTGTTATAGAGTGATATTGATTGGATGGCCAAGCACTTTTGAGGTTATCTTGATCACAATGACTAGTTCTAAAAAAAGCCATTGAAATTTTTAAATTCCATTACTTTCTCAAGCTCAGTATTACTGTGAAGGCTCTGTGTAGGGGTAGTCTTTTTAACTCTATCTCTACTTTTATCGTTAGTTTTTTGATCCAGCGCTGTAGAGTTGTATTGAGCAATTGATGTAGATAAGGGTGACTTCTATGACATGTTTTTGGGATGTGCTAAATAGAGTCTGAATAAAGCTAACTGTGTAATTTTGAGTTAGCCCACTTGAAAATGCTCATTTATTTTTAACACAAAAGCAAAACAATTGTTGTAATAATTTTAGTCTGTATGGGACAGGAATACAGGATAAATAATCAGAAGACATTTTTTAGAACAACCATTTTTATTATTATTTTTTATCTGTTTTTTTCTCTCGTTGCCATTTGCAACTCTTTTAAAAATAAGATGAACAGACATATGACATTCCTACAATACTCCCTCACCAGTAACTGAGTTACGATGCAAGGCAAATATGTCAAATTAGTCATATAATGATAATATAACATAACATATATACAGTTCAAAATTATACTACATAATGACACATCATAATACAAAAACATGTATACAAGATATTAATATTACATATATACAAATTATACCATTCTAAATTCTAGTTTCAATACAATAAAAAAATATATATAAAATAAATGTATATGTATCTAATTAATACAGTTTTGCTCTAAAAAGCGAACAGGCTTTTTTATTTTTCTGCCATATCTAGACATTTTAACATTTTGTATGAGATTGTCTGCATTTTCTTGTAATTTATTCGATGTTAAACATTTGTTAGGTTTTGCAGTTTTTAGGTTTTCATCGTAATCTGGAGTCTCATCTTCAGAATTCAGTAGATACGCTGGTTTAAGCCTGTCTATTGAAATGCTTACGTTTTTTCCTTTATAATTAATTGCAAAATACTTTTCTGTCTTATCCATCACTTGATAGGGTCCTTCATAAGGAGACTCTAATGGCTTCCTGACTCTATCAATCCGCATAAAAACTTGTGAACATGAACTTAAATCTTTGTGCACAAATACTTTGTTCCTTTTGAAATATTTTGACTCTAAAGATTTTAATGTTTCCATTTGATGTAGAAGATTGCTAGTAAAGTTTTACGTGGATGTTGTCACTTTTGAGTTTTCAAAAAATTCACCAGGAAGTTAAATGCATTTACCATAAACCATCTGAGATATTGAATAGTTGGTGTCATCGCATAGAGCAGCTCTGTAGGACAGGGTTCCCACGGTCCTTAAAAGTCCTTAAAAACTGCTTAGTTTTTATTTTGAAAATTAAGGGCCCTTAAAAGTACTTAATTTTGATTCATGGTCCTTGAAAGTCCTTAATTTTTAGTATCGCTAGTTGGTTGTAACAATTTTTTTATCTTAGGAAAATATCCACAATTAAAAAGTACGTCTTTTGCCTAGAATGAGACTCTGCATTGAGGGTAGAACATTTTGAATGCGTGTGAGGATGGGGTAAGGCGACCATTTGTACTGATTTTACCAGTACAGTCCTGGTTTTCAGGATGTAAGGCATTAAACAAAAACCAGTACGCGAAAAGTACTGGTTTTAGATTAGAAAACATTAAGACAAAAAAAGTTATAAAATAAAAATAATAAAATTAGAACTGGCAATCCTGATAATTCCATGTAATATCGTCAGGTGTCGCATGAGCAGGACCGCCACGACGTCATACAAGCCAGTGGTGGTCTGATGTACAGTCCGCAAGAAAAAAAAAGATATCATCCTGAATAACTTTTGTTCTAATGATCGGATTTTCACGAACTAAGTGTCAATCTTAATGGTTCCTGGGGATGACCTCAAATATGCTAATTAATTAGTGCTAACTATTAATTAAGTTACGAAAACAGACACAAAAACGTACTTTCTCTGAATATATATATATATTTTTTTTACATATTTGGAATCTAGACACTTGAATTAGGGGGGGGTAGACAAAATTTAAAAAAAAAATGGATCGTAAATTGGGTCGCAATAAAGGTTTATATATTTGGCGATAGTCCAGAAAACCGCCACAAAAAGTCGCCTGCGCAAATTAATATTTTAAGATAACCCATTGACTAATTCAAGAGAGGAATGCTTAATTTTACTAGGTTGCTAGGCAACCAAAATCTGACCGTAAAAAATTTGAAATAAAGTTCTGTGATTGGTTGGAGAGGTTTTATTAATTGTTAATAGAAAATATCTCGAAGTTTCTAGGCAATAGACAATTTTTAAGCTGATTTCTGTCCGAAAAGCACAAAAAAAATTATTTTAATCACCTTTGAAAAGAAAATTTGAATCGATTTATAAATTATTTATTACGTTCTAAGTTTTTGGAATTTAAACACATGAACTTTTTATCTGATATTATTTAGATTATGTTGTTTTTGCTATATTTATAAGAAGATTTCATACTAAAATCAAATTAACATAACTTATTATAGCTATATACAAAATTTTAAGGATTATCATTTTTACAGCTTTAATCGAGTCTTCGAAAGTTTGAAGGGGAAAAAATGCTTGAAAAATAAAATGTAGATTGTATAGTAATTCTAATGCACATTCACAGAGTTTTCTTTTTTTGTTTCTAAAATGTTACAACCATTTTTAGTTTTGTATCAAAGTGACAAACCCCTAGTACCATTTTTAGCTGATGATTTATTTACTCTGGTGAAAACAATCTTGGAACATTTTAAAGTTTTGAAACGGGAGAGGTGTAAAAGTATAGATTCCATATCATCACTTTGTAACTTCAATTTCACAGATGTAGTACAGTTTAACTGTACTGCTAAGATTTCCATTGGCTTTATTGGAGATCAGTTGCTGAAAAAAAAGCTAGCCAAGAAAGAGGCATCAGACAAAAATGTGTTGAACCTAAAAAGTGACTGTCAGCAGTTTATTTTTAAAATGTTACAAACATTAATGGAAAAGTGCCCTATTTCCTACGCTGTTGTTAGAAATGCTTCTTGCTTTGACCCAAATAAAATGGTTTTGCAGCCCATCAAATATCAAAAATCACTCAAAAGTATTTTATCATATTTAGGAGAAAAGAATCTGATACATTCTAAAAATGGAGATGAAATTTTACTTCAGTTTAAAGAGTTTTTAGATGAAGTTGTAAAATGTTCCCTTTCTAATTTCAAAACCTTTGATCATAAAGAGCAAAGGTTGGATGAATTTTTATATCAATATTTTTCAGTTGATAAAGAGAAATATTCTAAACTGTGGGGTATTGTCAAAATAATTTTAATTTTATCTCACGGTCAAGCCACCATTGAAAGAGGATTCTCAATAAACGAAACTCTAGAAATAGAGAATTTAAAAGAAAGCAGTCACATAGCACAACGAATGATTGTCGAAGCTGTTATGGAAGCAGGGGATGTACTCAATGTACCCATCACCAAAGAAATGAGACAATCAGTTCAATGTGCGAGACAAAAATATCTAAATTTTCTTGACTCTCAGAAAAAGGAAAAGATGGAAGAACAGACCCATAATAAAAGAAAACAATTGATTGAAGAAATTGATTTCCTCCAAGCCAAAAGAAAATGCTTTAAAGAAGATGTAAAAAATATGCATTAATCGTCTGATGCTCTTGCTGATGAAGGAGAGAAGAAAAAAGACATTTCACTCTTTTTAAAATCAACTGTCCTAAGAAAAGAAGCAACAAGAAATGTTTTTGAACTGGAGTCCATAATGGAAACTATTTCTAAAAAGCGTGAGGAACTCAATAAATGTGGATGATATTTCATTATTGTGTAAAATTATTGCAACTCTTATAAATAGAATTATTATATCAGTATTTTCAATAAAGTTTTTTTTTCTAAGAAAGGTAAATAACTTACTGTGAGTATAGAATTTTTTCTTATTTGATGATGAATAATCATGCCATTCGTAAGGTCCTTAATTTTGAAGAAAAAAGTCCTTAAAAGTGCTTGATTTTTGCTTTGATAAAAGAGTGGGAACCCTATAGTAAGAGTTTCAGACCATTTAGTAGAGTTGTGTGCCTTTATTGCAGTTTTCAGTGTACAATGTTGACGCTCAATTTCGCCATTGTACTGAGGATGATATGCAGTTGTTCTGTTGATTTTTACTCCACATAAGTTGGTAAGAAATTTAAACGTTTCTGAGTCAAACTGTGATCCTCGATCGGTAAATACTCAGTATGGCACTCCAAAATCCAAATCTAACTATCCAATTTTCATAGAAACATCTGGCGACTGTTTCAGCTTTGATATCAGGTATAGGAACTACTTCTATCCAGCTTGTAAAACGGTCAATACAAGTCAAACAGTATCTGTTTCCATTGGATGGAGGTAATGGTCCAATTAGGTCAATATGTATCTCGTTAAATCTTTCATCGGGTTGTTGATATTCTCCAAACCGGGATTTAGTATGTTTTGAAATTTTGTATTCTTTTGGCAATCAATACAGGATTGTGCCCAAGTTCTAACATCTTTTCGAATTCCAGGCCAAATAAATCTTGACGTTATCTGTTTGATAGTTGATCTGATTCCTGGATGAGATAAACCATGTATCTGTTTGAAAATAATCATTCTTGAATTTTTAGGAATATATGGTCTAATTATATTAGTAGAGATATCGCACCATAGAAATTTACCAGACTGCAGTGGTTGTTGTTTAAATTTTAAGGTTGTGTCTGATTGCATTAGTTGTTTTAATTCTTCATCACTACTTTGATCATCAGCAATTTTGTCATAATCTACACTAGTTACTTCTTGAATTTGAGATAACGTGTCTGCAACAATATTATTTTTGCCAATAATGTGTTGAAAGTCAGTCGAAAACTGGGATATGTACTAGAGATGTATATTTTGTCCAGGAGATGCTTTTTCATTTTTTTGTTTGAAGGCAAAAGCCAGTGGCTTATGGTCTGTAAATATACTAAATTCTCGACCTTCTAATAAATGTTTGAAATGCTTTACAGAAAGATATATCCCTAATAATTCTCTGTCGTAGGTACTATATCCTTTCTGTGCATCATTTAATTTTTTTGAATAGAAAGCTATCGGTTTCCAAGCACCATTTTCGTATTGTTCCAATACTGATCTGATTGTGAAATCTGAAGCGTCTGAGCAAAGGCATAGTGGCAATTCAAACTTCGGATATGTTAGCAAGGCTTATTAAAAGAAAAGTTCTCAGTTCTCGTATAGTTTCTGGCAACTTGTAATTAAGGATTGCTTCCACTTTTTGGGAAAGGGGCTAAGATCCTTCCGAACTGATTTCATAACCCAAAAACTCCAATTTATCTACCAATTTATCTATCAATTTATTTGGAGATATTGATTCTGAGGCCATATTTATGTAATCTATCAAAAAGTTGTTTTAAATGAGATTGATGCTCTTCTTTGTTTGGAGATGCCACTAATAGATCGTCTAGATAAGGAAAAACGAAATCAAGTCTACACAGAACTTCATTTGTAAAACGTTGAAGGTGCATTTCTGAGGCCGAAACTCATAACATTGAATTCAAAGAGTGCGAAAGGGGTAATTATTACAGTTTTTTTTTTGTCCTCTTCATTTATAGAAAGTTGATAATAAGCTTTAAATAAATCAAATTTAGAAAATACTTTGGCGTCTTTTGAAATATGATGGAAATCTTCTATTCTTGGTATTGGATATCGGTCTGGTATTGTTTGGTCGTTTAGTCTTCTATAATCTCCACATGGTCTGTAAGACCCATCCTTCTTTTTAACCATATGTAAAGGACTTGCCCAGGGTGATTTTGAAGGTCTAATAATCCTGTTGTCTAGCATGAATTGAAATTCTTCTTTGGCTATTTTTAATTTTCTTTGGATCTAATTGTCGTGCCTTAGAAAACACAGGTTTTCCCTTTGTGGCAATAAAATGTCGAATTTCATGTTTAGCATCACTAATTAATAAGTTTGGCTTAGTTAAATTTGAATATGAAGAGAATAATTCAGAAAACTTAGAATTTTTATCCATAGTGGAAATTGTTTCCATCATGCATATTGGAGAAATTTCCCCTTTAACTATTAAATTGGTTACTCCATCAATCAATCTTTTTTCTTTAATGTCAGTTAATAAATTAAACTTATTAAGAAAATCGGCACCTATTATTCCTTCATAAATTTAGGCGATAATAAATGGGAAATTATATGAGCAGCGAAGTCCTAAATCAACAGTTAATATTTTGATACCATAGGTTGTAATCTCTGATCCAATTGCTGCAATTTTTATAATTGCTTGCACTTTGATAACTTTTATTGGCCGGTAGTGGTAATAAACTGACATCGGCTCCTCTGTGGATAAGGAAGTTTATTCCTTATCGACAAAGGCAAGTTCTTATCACATCCGGGTCACTAATGTGAGGATTCAATTTATCGACTATGTCAACTTTCATCTACCAAAAGGTACCTCATGATAGAATCCAGTTAACATGTATTATATCTAGTGATTTGGTATTTAATATTTATAGTGGTAGTTATGCCACAAGTCTATTAAACCAAACTTGCTAGCAATATTTACTTAATAATGTTTTTTAATTTTTTCTGTAAAGCAGTTAACATGTTTTCAGTGTGTTTTTAAATATATATGTAGTGATTAAAGTTTTTATTAATCAAATTATCATTATGACAGTTTTTGAGTTCTATGACAATTATGCATTTAATGATGTTTGCAGTAATTTAAATAATAATTAAAATACATTTTCTTTATGTGTGAAACCTTAATTAAAAATATGAAATTTTTTTTTTACATATTTATATGTTGCTTTTCTCTATCTTGTTCCTATGATAATGAGGTTTTTAAGTGTTATTTAATATTGTAATAAAATTATTACAGCTTGAGTTATTGATGTATATTTTCTAGGAGTTAAAGCCTTATATAAAGGCCTGGGACCTACAATACTTCGCACATTTCCAGCTAGTGGAGCATTGTTTGTTGCTTATGAATATACAAAATATTTTCTTCATTTTGTTTCTGGATGTCCTTCCAGTTCAGCATCTTGATGTTTGAAATTTTTAAATCTATTTCTTTATCAAAGTAGGGCTAAAACTAATGGTATGCTAGTTCTAAATTACTTATGAAATTTTTATTAATGTTCTATATTTTTTGTGATTTAATTAATTATATTAGTTCTTTTTTAATTAAACTCTTCAAATCTTAAAATTTCAATCTGAAATTTCAGAAAATTGTTATTTATTTATTGTTATCAATTTTAGTAATTTAGGTTAAAGTGTCTTAACCAACAAGATTTTATGATGTATATACCCAATGAGGTATATACCCAATGGCTATACGAGCTCAAAAGATCCTACATACAATATGGGTCAGTGTGTCAATCCTCTTAAGCATTACAGGCATGATGTCCTGGTGACTTATAGGGCTTTAAAGATTTTCCACACCAAGAAACTAACACTGACTTAAATTAATATCGTTTGCAAAAAATCATGTAACTTTAATAACAATTTTGGAGTCAATAGGAGGTAAACTCTAAGAACGCCCAACCTCTATCAGCAACCATTTTACTAAGGAACGGAGAGTGGTTGCTCTGAAGAGGTTTCATTGTGTGTGTGTGTACACATATATATTCATTTCTTGGCTGTATTTAATCAATTAGTAGTCAAACAAATCATGTTACATGTAAATTACTAAAATTAAGTATATCTTTTACAAAACATGACAATTTCCAAATTTAAATAATTCTGCTATTCAATAAACTAAATTAGATTGAGAAGGATAAACATACCTTTTGGGGATGTTCATTACCTCCATGGATAAGTAAGTTATCTATTCAGTGTTATACAATTCCATCTTGTGCATTACACAAGCCATAACAAATATAATGTGTGGAGATTTTGCAAATAAAAAAAGTCGCCACAATAATCGTTTGTTGCCATCAGAAAGATAATCACTTTACATTTTCTTGTGAGTTCTATGCATAATAGCATGCTACTAGCCTTTTTCTCTGAATGCCAGTTGTCCTCTTCTCTCCAACTGGCATGCATGTCCAGCTCTGCAAGCTTAAAAAAAAAAAGCTTACTAAATGAACAAAACACACTAAACAGTCTTGGAAACTGAACCAAAAATAAATATGTGGTACATTACATGTGTTTTCTTTTTTCCTGGTTCCTGTATTAACATGTTTTCTTTTTAATTTGCATGGTTTATGTAAGAAACATAAATTAATTCTGCAATAGTAATTTTTTAACCATTCAAATTATTTTGCTGCGAACAAAATATATAAAAATCTGAATTCATAAGGTCAAGTGCAAAAATTTTCACCGTTTTTTTCAATTTACAGAAAACAGGCTGAATATAATAATTATAACATATTTGAATAGAAGTTATTTGGTAAAGTAATAATTTGATTCAAATTAGGCATGGTAAAAAAGATTTTATAAGAGGTATTTCTATGTAGTAGTATATTTATTTATTACTTTTTTATTACTTTATCCTTAACAATATTACTCCTTAATGGAAATGTCATTTTTCTGGATGTATTGAATTATTTTTTATCTTTTTCAGATCTATGCCAATGAAAAGTATTAAATTTCAATGAAAAGTATTACCTCTAAATTGATTGATGGTGTTAAAGTTAAATAGTCAAATTATTTTGTTGAATGTCTTTGAAATGTTGTAATTTATTGAATAAATTATTTAGTTTTTAAAAAAGATGGTTTTTATTAATATAATAACATTGCACTTAAAGAAAAGTACATAAAATTTGGGCAGGTTTTACCATGTGTGTGAGCTAATTTTTTTAAAATTGAGTTTAAGAGCAAGAAATCCAACGTCTAATTATTTATTTAAGTTAAATGAATATTATGGGGATTATAAATAAACTACTTTAATTTTTTTTTCTTTTGACTTTCCTACCATCTTAAAAATTTTATAAGGAACTTATGAACTCTGAATACGCAGAGGAAATTATCTGTCTTTTTGAGGTTTCTTTTGAAAATTTAGTGTAAATGTACTTTTATTTTGAGTTAAAGGAGGGTAAAAATACTGATGTGTAATTAATTATTTTTTACATTTATGCTGAAGTATGCTTTTCAACTGTGGGAAAATGTGTTATATGTTTTTTTTTCTTTAAAAAAGAGGAATGTTTCCAAAGATGCTGAGCATGGGGAAAATCGTTTGAAGTTCATTTGACGCTCAATATTATCAATGTTGTTGTCCGAAATAAAAATAATAAGATCGCAGTATTTTGGGTACACAAAACTAATCCAAATATAATTCATAACTGATGTTGCAAATTTCGCAGAAGATTCGTTAGAAATTGTAAAAATTTTGTAGAACACAATAAAAAATATATAAATAGTGTGCCTGCTAGAATTCGTTATCACCTCAATAATTTCTTGTCTCAAAAATGGTACAAGATATGGGGAAAAGGTCATTATAAAGTTGTTCAACATCACCGTTTTAGCAAGAAAAAACACCTCTACAAACAGAAGGATTAAAATACATAGTTGTTTGGTTGCATCTCCCAAAATTGTAACGCAGAAAAAAAGGTCACAGTCAAGATAATCGCGACACAGCGATAGGTTGTGTCATTACAATAAAGGAGTATCAAGTCCCTGCTGGAGTATTCTGTTCTTAAAACTTTAGTATCAAAATTAGTAGGATTGTACAGTATTGTTTTGCAAACGCATCAACTCTAGGCTCATTTGATATTAAGCAAATAAATATGATCATCATACAATTCAAAAAAGTTATGGTATACATGAGCATCGCAAAAAGTTTTACCTAAATATGCTAAATACTGGCAAAAAGGTTAATTATTTGTATCTCTTCCTTGTTTTTATCTTTGAGGAATTTAAATCTATAATAATTTTCAAACATTTCAGTTATTTGTTTGAAATATTAAGGAAACTTTTAGAGATTTTTAATTATTGAGGGGACACAAACCTATTTTTTGTTTTGTTTTTTTCATTTGATTAAGTGTGAAAAAAATACATAGGAAACGAATACCTCACTTGTCAGTATAACAACATGAAATGTGTATATAAGTGCGAGTACAAGAATGTACTTTTTGTACACAAAACCCTAACTTCTTAACTATTTTTCTGATCAGTTCTTGTTTTTCTTTTTCTCTATCAATTCAGCATAAACAATTACATTGAAAAATCTACTTTACTTGTTCAGACAGCTCTTACATGAACTATTCATTTATTTATCTTGTTTATAGTCTCATTTGATTCAATGTGAAAAATACTTAGGAACAATGCCACATTTGTTTTGATAGCAATGTCTGTTGCAAAATTAAAACTCCTATACCTTCTTAACTATTCATCTGATAGTATCAAAATTGGTTTCATTCAGTTAAGTTCATGTAATCCTGTCAATTTCATGTAAAAAATATGTTCACGTGTCGTGTAATGCTTGGAGATGCTCGAGTGTTTTCCTAGTTATTCTATTTGGACCACGTTTTTGTGGCTACTCCTTATATTTTGAGTCAAATATATGAATTCGTCTAAAAAAATCGATATGTTTCTTGAGAAAAAATACATTGAAAGTCCGTTATTGGCGATCGAAATGGGCTGCAGGTGGCGTAGAGCAGAACTCTTTTCCTATGGCAACACTTCACATGCTTTCCCCATTAGCGTGTGGAAAGTCATAGAGGAAGGAAGTACGTTAGTTTCTCTCTTGATTTTCATATAGATTAAAATCTTTTAACTTGAAAAACTATATGGAACTGAAAACTACATTAAACATAGTTTTAAAGAAAAGTATCATGGAAATTTTAAAAAATATTTTTATTAAATAAAAAGGAAAAATATTAAGAAAGGGGAAAGTATCGTAGTACATTCCTATACAACTGAAAAGAGGAGGAGAGGAAAGGGAGAAGGGCTAAAAGCATGAAACCGGTCTCTCCCCAGATGGCGTATTCGAGTGTTGCGATCGCGAATAACGAACCATTTTTTCTTTTAAAATAGACAACTATATTGATTTCAAATACTTGTTTGGCCGGGATAACCTATTTGGTAGAGCGATTCCTGTCGACCGAAGACTCCCTGTTTAGTAAATGGTGACTAGTACGCGTTAAATCTGTCCGGTCACAAAATCTTCCATGTTTCCATAACATATGACACCTCTCAGGGTTCTGAATTGGAGATTGTCTCTGGTTCAGGTCAATTACGATCTGTGGCTGTATGAATGGGTTCACCCTTTAACCGTAGACTGTGACGTGTGTGTGGCTGAAGTAATTTTGGCCATAGACGGATAAAAGGGAGTGTGGTCAACAAAGGGTGCACAGCAGGAACAGAATTGCTGAGAAGATAATTTTGCTTTATTAAAAGTATAAGAGAGAACCGATGTTCTATATTTATAACAGAAATAAATAAAAATATCATTTAAAGCTTCCATAAAATCTATTTTCCTAGATATAGTGGACGGCTGGTTATTTTTTTATTCGTTTTAAACATACAAATTTGTATCCCTATTAGTACTTTCTCGGTGACTGGGAAATTAGTTGTAGTAGCGAATTTATACATATATATTATAATATGCCGTACTCGCTTCATCTAGCTTCTACTGAATATTTTAGTGTGATTTTATAACTTGTCTATTGCCTGCAAAATTGATTAGCTCAATTTAAACTTAGCACTTTAGTGCGTAAAAATCCGAACTTTCGATGATACGGTCCTTACGTAGGGTAATCAAAGTGGTCACTCACTTGAATTTGGTGTCTTTACTGACAAATATGTTAAAACTGATAGAAATATTTTGCTGTCCCGCAGTGGACTGATCGTTAAGACACGGTTCCCAGCAGATCACCGAAGTCAAGCATCACTGGCTGCGGTCAGTGTGCTGGTGGGTGACCACTTGGATCAGTCTGCGTAGGGACCGAGGGTGTGCGGTATTGGTCCTCGTTAAACTGTTCCACCGTAAAGTGCTCGACTTCGCGTGCAGGTCGTTGGGCTACCGAAGCAGGGGTGCCATCCCCTCTGCAGAGGATCAAAATTGTGATGGCATGTCTTCGGATTATCCTCAGGGCTGTCCAGCTCCGTCGCCAATAGCCCATTGTGCAGCTCTAGTGCGACGTAAATTAACAACAACAACAAATATTTTGCTTAGCTAAGAAAAGTGCAGGATATTTTACAGCCGACTTTTTCAAAACATTTTTATGCTGCAATCATTTTTAATTTAGTGTCTTTCGATCAAAGGGAGCCATTTTTTTTTGTACAATTTCGTAGATTTTAAATTAGATATTTAAGAAATATTTATTATTTTTTAATATTTCGGGAAGAGGATAATTTTTGAAATCTTTTTAATGGAGGCTATTTTTCGTGCCAAATTTGTTGTATCATCAATATTTTACTTACCAATTATAAAAAATAACAAAAGTAGAACATTATCAACTTGCGGATTTTGAATGGGGTTATGGGAGTTTTTTGAGATTCGATGTTTATTTGGTTTTGGTAATTAAAATGGATTTTTGACTCAGTTTTATTTAACTCCCTTAAGCATGGACGAAATATTTTTCTTTTATAATATTTAGACCCAGGATTTGAGACCTTAAATGTGAATACACAAACATATGATATATATACGTGTAATGCATCTCGTCATGTCTTGCAGTGGACTGATCGTCAAGACACGGTTCCCACCAGATCACGTCAAGCAGCACTGGCTGCTGTCAGTGTGCGGGTGGGTGACCACGTGGATCAGTCTGCGTAGGGTGTGCGGTATTGGTCCTCGTTAAACTGTTCAACCGTAAAGTGCTCGACTTCACGTGCAGGTCGTCGGGCTACTGGTGCGGGGGTGCCATCCACTTCGCAGTGGATCAAAATTGTGATGGCGTGTCTTCGGATCATCCTCAGGCATGTTTTCCAGACTGTCGCCAATAGCCCATTGTGCAGCTCTAGTGCGACGTACTAAATGAACTACAACAGCATCTCGTCATTGGGATTATTCTTATAAATTTCATTTGAATCATAATAAGATTATCAATATTTTTATGGGTACTTGAACACACTGTAATTTGATCAGTAGGGGAGAGTGGGGTCAATTGTAACATTTTTTGCTTAACTATTTTTAACTAACAAAAAATCCAATATATTATTAGTATTAATTGACAGACGAGTAAAGTAGACTATCCTCTACTAGAAAAAAAATA